GGGGGGTGCTGTGCCTGGAGGTGCTGAGTCTGGGGGTGCTGAGTCGGGAGCTGCTGAGCCTGAGGGTACTGAGCTGGGAGCTGCTGAGCCTGGGGGTGCTGCGCCTAGAGTTGCTGAGCCTGGGGTTTCTCCTGCTGCTGCGTCTCACCGGGAGCCCCTCTCTCCACCGGAACTGCGCGAGTGGTTCGCTCGCCGCTGGAGGCGTGCTGCTGAGTCTGGAGGTGCTGCTGGAGCTGGAGCTGGAGCTTCTTCGACCGTCGAGGGTGCGGGTGCTGCCGGTCCCGGAGTTGCTGGACCTACTGGTCCTCCTGGAGCTGGAGCTGCTGAGGGCGTTGGTACTGAGCCTGCTGCTGTTGGACCTGCCGCTGGAGGTGTGGGTGGCGCTGGTGCTGTCGCTGAGGGTGCTGGTGCTGTCCCTGCTGAGTCTGGAGCTGCCGCGCGGCCTCGGCCGTACTTCGTTCCGCTCCTGCAGCAGGTTCTTGGTCTTTCTCCTCCACTAGAGGGTCCACCGCCTGTCCAGTCGCAGTCCCTACTGGAGCCTTCCTCTCCGCTGCCTGCTCCCTCTCCTTACACTGGTCCTACTGGAGGTCTTGCTGAGCGTCGTGAGCCTGCGTCTCGTCCCGCGTCGCCTGTTCGTGCTGCTCGCGCTAGTGGTCGCAGTTCGCGTCAGCGTCCTCCTCCTGTCCCTGGCACGCACCGGATGTCTCTGCGTCCGTCCACTGCTCCTCTGCGTGCCCCTTTGCCTTCTCCTCCTGAGTCCTCTCTTCCTGCGCTTGCCGACCCTGAGTCGGACTCTCTTCGCGCTGCCAGTCCTACTGTCACGCGTCTGCTTGCTACTGTCGTCACTGACCCCTCGTTTGAGTCCACTGCTGCGTCTGCTCTGGTCGCTGAGCTCGTTGACTTTGCTGCTCGCTGTCGTCTCGACTACGCTGCTAGTCTTGTTGCTGAGTCTGTGTCTGGCTGTCCTCCGTCCGTCGGGGGTGAGTGTGCTCTTGGCACGGACGTCCTAGAGGACAGGCAGGAGGAGTTACAGTGTCTAGTGGCTGCTTCACCTCATCTCGCGACTGTACTGCTTGCCCCTGAGGGAGACCCGGATGCACTAGACATCCCGACTCCGCGTTCTTACGCGGAGGCCGTAGAGGGTCCCTACTCCTCTCAGTGGCAGGCAGCTATGGATGCAGAGATGGCTTCCTGGAAGTCCACAGGCACCTACGTTGACGCAGTTCCCCCTCCTGGGGCGAACATCGTCAGTGGCATGTGGATCTTCAGGGTGAAGCGACCGCCGGGCTCTCCACCTGTCTTCAAGGCACGGTACGTTGCTCGTGGCTTCAGTCAGCGGCAGGGAGTTGACTACTTTCAGACCTTCTCTCCCACCCCGAAGATGACCACTCTTCGGGTGCTGCTGCACATAGCCGCTCAGCGCGACTACGAGCTTCACTCTCTCGACTTCAGCACTGCGTTCCTGCAGGGTAGCCTGCACGAGGAGATCTGGCTGCGCCGTCCGCCTGGCTTCACTGGGACTTTCCCTCCTGGCACCCAGTGGAGCCTCCGACGGCCAGTCTACGGTCTCCGCCAGGCACCGCGTGAGTGGCACGACACACTGAGGACTACGCTTGCGGCTCTTGGGTTTGATCCTTCTACTGCTGACCCGTCGCTGTTTCTTCGCACCGACGCTTCCCTGCCGCCGTTCTACATCCTCGTGTACGTCGACGACTTGGTCTTTGCCACAGCGGACACTGCTGGACTCGCCTACGTGAAGTCCGAGCTGCTGAAGAGACACACGTGCACAGACCTGGGTGAACTGCGCAGCTACCTTGGCTTGCAGATCACTCGGGACAGAGCACGCCGCACCATCACCTTGACTCAGTCACACATGGTGCAGCAGGTCCTTCAGCGCTTCGGCTTCACGTACTCCTCGCCTCAGGCCACTCCTCTGCCTACTCGCCACTCACTCTCAGCTCTGCCTTCGGATGAGTCCGTAGAGTCGAGTGGTCCGTATGCAGAGTTTGTTGGCTGCCTCATGTACCTGATGACCTGCACACGACCTGACCTTGCATACCCTCTGAGCATTCTTGCACGCTATGTTGCTCCTGGGAGACACCGACCAGAGCACATGGCTGCAGCGAAGAGGGTATTGCGCTACCTGTGCAGTACGTCAGGCATGGGGCTAGTGCTTGGAGGGCGCAGTCCAGTGGTCCTTACAGGCCACGCGGACGCTTCTTGGGCTGACGACCAGGCTACGCAGCGGTCGTCACAGGGTTACACCTTCAGCCTTGGTTCCGGCTCTGTCTCGTGGCGGTCTACTCGCTCGTCTTCGGTTCTCGGCTCCAGTTGTGAGGCTGAGATCCACGCCGGGGCCATGGCTGCACAGGAGCTTCGCTGGCTCACCTACCTGCTGACTGACCTTGGAGAGCCGCCTCGTTCTCCTCCAGTGCTGTACGTAGACAACAAGGCCATGCTGGCCTTGTGTCGAGAGCAGCGCTTGGAGCACAGAACGAAGTACATTGCTCTCCGCTACTTCCTTGCTCGTGAGCTGCAGCAGCGTGGTCAGTTGCGACTTGCGTACGTGGCCTCTGAGGCCAACACTGCTGATGTGTTCACCAAGGCACTGGCGCCTTGTGACCATCAGCGCTTTTGTACCCAGCTGGGTCTTGTGCCTGTCTTGCCTCACTTGCTCTCTTCTTGACTTTACTTGTACTGTGACATATATATACCTGCTCTTGCTTGTCTTGCTTTATATATATGTCTGTACTCTTGCATGTGAACTGGCCTTTGGCCTTGCTCTTGTGCTCGGACTGTGTGGTGACTTTGTGATCCACCCCGAGCTTGCTTTGCTTTGCTTGACTGGTCTTGTGACCTCTTGTTCTCCCCCACTTTGCCTATGGGGGTGTGTCAGAACATATAGCTTACCTGTTTGTGTAGGCTACAGTGGGGTATCCCATAAGGGGTACAACACAATTAGGTTTCCTATTTGTACTCATTCTTGACTTAGTCAATTCATTCCTCTTCTCACTGTTTCACAAGCTGTATCGCGGGGGGCTTGTGGAGAGGACGACTCTGTGTTTTCGTCTTATCTTTTAGGGTCACTGAAGGCGCTCATCGGGGTGGCGTTACAACGTGCGCAAGCCCGTGTCATCCTGCTTCGAGCGGCGTCTTCCATGGGGGGGATCAACGTAGATTTGGCGGATCGGGAGAGGGACGATGTCGATGTGGAAGGCGGGGCTCTCTGGGTGGAGGCCCCGTACATGGTCGATACGTTGATGTGATTGAGGGGGGGGGGGGGGTGGGGCGTGGGATGGGATGTCTTGATGGGGTGTCTTGACTGGGCGTTTTGATTGGGTAACTTGAGGGGGGGTTTTATGTGTGTTGCATTTGGGTTCTTTTTGGGAGTTTCATTTTCCTTCTCCCTTTCTTTCTCCATTCCCTTTCTTTTTCAGACACACTATGGCGAGACACATGGTGTGAATGACTGTTCTATCATGGGAAGGCCTTGTTGTGTGGCCCAAAAGAAAGAAGATTTCCAGCATACACTACACTTACTGAACCAAGGTATAGCTTCCCTTTACTTTCTTCTGTATTGCGGAAGGGAAGAAGGTACCACGCAGACCCTCGAGCATGGAATCGTCTGCTACATCGATTCCAGGTGGGACCACCACGATCTCGATACCGCTGCTCCAGATTTCGCTCTTTTTCCTGAAGGCTGCCAACCTCCCATGCGCTCTAAACCGCGACAGGTGTCCAAGAGTAGCTGCGAAGATCTTAAGTTGGCCAACAAGGTGTGAGGGAGACGCGCCATGTGGGACCGGCAGATTCTCGTAGTCCCAGAAGATTTCAACAAGAGCGCCATGGTCTGCAGGGGGATCAGATTTTAGCGCGAATATACCTTCACAACCAGTTTTGTGAGCACGCATGGAGCAGGGTGCTCGGTTTTCTCGTCCTCGTTCAAAACACTTCCCTCTGGTCGTAGAAGAACAAGCAACACCTATTCTTATTGTCCTGCAGTTGAATCTCGCTCTGTCTGGAAGTGGCGACAGCAGAGAGCTGATTGGCCCACATCCACGTGAAATACTCGACAGGATCATACTGCTGTGTTGGGGTAGTCTTAATCGCAAAATTTAAATCCATTTGACTAGCAGACGTTGAAGAGCGCGTGATTGCGATGAGGGGCTTAATCAAAACCGACACCGACTGTCGAGGTTAGAGGAATGACATCAGGAAACCCGCGTTCGGGTGCGACGGGAAACAGTTCGCATGCATGCATGGTTTCACCAGCATGGAGAATCTCTTGCACGCATTCGGTTTGTTAGCGATTGAGTTCCTGGAGCGTAATGCTGACACCAGCGGCAGTGCGGTCCGGGTTACGAAACCCTTGTCGCTTATCCCGGCGAAAGTTTCCGGTTTGGAGCGAAAGCCAAACAACAAACACGTGGAGCCATGCACATAATCGATCGTCCAGCTAACATAAGAGCTTGACGGCCCTGAAACTACCAGCTACTGTTATACGGAACGTTGTTCTCACTGCAGGCAAGAAGACCGCATCGCAATGAAACAAAATTCGCCCTAAACTAGGAGTGTCCATCACCACCACCATGAATGTACCCACCATCGTCAATCCCGTCAATCACCCGTCAATCGCCCCTGCTGAAACGAGGCAGCCAGGGTCGGGAGTTTGAGTTGAGGGAAGGAAGGAGATGCGATCGAAAGACCCGGTATAAGATGCCGCCTTAGGCGAAGAGCAATCATCGTGAATAACACTTTTGGCACTTAAGGTTCGACCCAGCCCAGTCCACTAGGTCTAACTACGGTAACCCCTTGCTCTTTCGCCTAATTCAGTTAACGTCAAGTCTTTACAACTTTCTCGCACATGCCACAGGAATCAGTGTAACACAACTACAATGCGCCTAAATCTCGTAACGCATTCATCCGTCTAGAAAGCAATAATCTTTCAAATAATTCGCTATTGGAAGCATGGTCAGTTGTATCTGCCACCTTCATCCCGCTCAACTGCCTCCTGCCACGCTGTCATCTCCATCAGTCCGCTCCTCATCCTCAAACTCTGCCGCCGCTGTCACAAGCTCGGCTGACAGATTCTTCATCTGACGGATGGTGTGTGGGGAGCAGGGAGAGAGCGCGCATGAGCCATCACACTCTGCAACTAGGCGTGTGCTGCCAATGAGGCGATAAGGATGCGTGCAGTGCTAAGGATACCTGAGCACAATTAAATGTCATGGATTACCACTTTATGGTGCTCATCGCCTCATCACCATGGATCCTTATCGATTACTGAAGGCAGCACCACTTACTCCCAGCAGGTGAAGGATGGAGTCCTTGTGGTAGTCCAACGCTTGCACTGCCAGCCACAGCAGGCGAGATGATGACTCTAATGTGATCGTACCGAGTGTGACAGTACTGAATGTGATTAAACCGAATTTGACATTACTGAAGGTGGCAGCCAGCACCCACCCCTGGCAGGTGCTGAATGGAGCCCTTATGGTAGTCGAGCGCGTATACAGTGAGTTTTTGAGACGTCTCAAAAACTCACTGTATACGAATGGAGTCCTTATGGCAGTCAAACGCCTGCGCTGTTGGTCAGCCGCAGCAGGCGAGATGATGGCTTTGATGTGACCATACTGAATGTGACTGTACTGCTTGTGATTATACCAAGTGTGACAGTACTGCTTGTGATTATACCGAGTGTGACAATACTGCTTGTGATTATACCGAGCGTGACAGTACTGCTTGTGATTATACAGAGTGTGACCACTCACCCCCGGGAGGTGCAGGATGGAGTCCTTATGGTATTCAAACGCCTGCACTGTCAGCCGCAGTATGCGCCTCATCTCCGCACACTCGTCCACCAGCACATCAAGCTGTTGTGGGGAAGGTAGGGGTGCGGGAAAGAGGAGTGGGTACATGTGTAACCGTTGCATCCCCCCACACTCGTCCACCAACACATCCAGCTGTTGTGGGGAAGGAGATACGCCACAGGAATCCCACCTCCCCCGCGTGGCCTTCACCTGCTCTTCCTCCCACCTTGCACCAGTGGCTTACACAAAGTAAAGAAAGAAAGAAAAAAACCTGTACCAATGGATAAACAACAAACGCATTATGCAATCAGAGAAGCTTCTACGCGGTGTTAATCAGGAAAAAAAAAAACAGAAGCAAAAACAGTGTATTGAAAGCAAACGTACAGGTCTCACTGCCATCAAAGAACCTCTCACCTCCTCCTCTGCCTTCCGCAGGTTCTTCCTCACTATCGCATCCTGCTCCTCCACCACACTCAGCTGGTCTCGTGCCTCTGCCACGTCCATCTCCCTGCAGCAATCCAGCCAGAGAGGGGAGGAGTTGCGGAGAGAAGGGTATGAAACGACAGGGTGAGAAGGGCTGCGGGGAAAAAAGGGAGGGTAATTATTGGCTTCCTGCTCTTCCATCACACTCAGCTGGTCGCGCGCCTCTGCCACGTCCATCTCCCTGCAGCCACAGCGAAACGGAAAGATAATAACAGAAAGCTCAGAATAAAAAGCAGGACCAAGAGGATGCGGGAAGCTAAGGGAAGGCGCAGCTCAGCTCATCCTGCTCCTCCACCACACTCAGCTGGTCACTCATCCTTCTCAACCTCCCTCCCCCCCTCCTCCCATCTCGCGGTTTCACCCTTGCACGCTTCTTGATGCAAGAACCCCGCCTTCTCTTCGCCGCCCATCCTCTCCCCCGCCCAACCGCTCCCAACATAGCTGCATCCCTTTCCATACTTCTCAACGGGTAATCACATTTTATCCTTCTCCGCCTCATGGTGGAGGAACTTCGCTTTCAGCACCATGCTCACTCCAAACCATCTTATCCACACATCCCACCCCTCGACCCATGCTCACAGCTTTCCCTCCACTCACAGCTTCTCCTTCTGCGCCTCCTGGTGGAGGAACTTCGCTTTCAGCACCATGCTCACTCCAAACCATCTTATCCACACATCCCACCCATCGACCCATGCTCACAGCTTTCCCTCCACTCACAGCTTCTCCTTCTCCGCCTCCTGGTGGAGGAACTTCGCCTTCAGCATCTGCAACTCCCCAACCATCTTATCCGCACACCCTCCTTCTCTCCCCCCCCCCCCGCTCCCCACTCCCCCCGTATAACTCACACTTTCTCCTTCTCCGCCTCTGGGTGCAGGAACTTCGCCTTCAGAATCATATTGTCTCATACGCACACCCCACGCTCCCGTCAACGCCACTCACATGGCCGCCTCCTGGTGCAGGAACTTGACCTTCAGCATCTGCAGCTATCCCTTCCCCCACTAACCTGTCCAAACATTTCACAGCCGCTACTCACAGTTTCTCTTTCTCCGCCTCCTGGTGCAGGAACTTCGCCTTCAGCATCTGCAACTCGCGCTGCAGCGACGCCGCCAGGTCGCGCTCGTCCTCCGCCTGCGCCTCCGCTACCTCCGCCGCCTCCTCCGCCAAATCAGCGCGTCTCTGCGCCGCCGCCGCGCGCGCGGAAAGATCCTCCGACTTGCGCGCGAGCATGTGGCGGTCGCGCGTGAGGTTCTCCACCACGCGCTGCTGCGCCGCCGCCTCCGCTTTAAGTCTCTCTACCTCCGCCTCCGCGCCCCGCAACTTAATCTCTACCTCCGCCTTCTCCGCCACCAGTCGCGCAACTTCCTGGTCTTTTTCCGCCGTGCGCCGCTCCCACGCATCCCGCTCCTCCGCCCATTGCGCCAAGATCCGCTGCCGCTGGCTCTCCGCTTCCGCACGAGCGCGCGCTTCCCCTTCCCGCCTACCTTCCTCCCGCTCCGCCCTCTCGCTCTCGAGCCGCTCTTGCTCCATCTCGACTTCGGATCGCTCCAGATCGTCTACTCGGTCTAAAAGAAACTCCTTAGCGGCGCTTTCTATAACGAGTCCCGCCGCTGCAAGCCCCGCCGCCTGCTGCCAGCGCGCAACTTCCGCCTCGCTGCGCCTCCGCCTCTCCGCTTCCTCCGCCTCCTCCTCGTCCCTCCAGGCGCGCTCCGCGCATGTGAAGCACGGGTGCTCTTTCTCCCGTTCCGCCTGAAGCTCCCGCCGCAGGTCCGCCAGCTGCTGCGCGAGCCCCGCGCGCTCGCGAGAAAACGCCTCGTCTCGCGCGGAGAGAGCCGCGCGAAGGTCGGAAGCCGCGCGCGCGGAAGCGACGGCGGCGCCTCGTTCCAACTCTGACCGTTCCGCCTGCATCTGCGCGCGTAGCTGCGCCTCCGTCTCGCGCGCCCGCGCGTCATTGGAGGAGATCTCCCTGCGGAGGGACTGGCGGAGAAGGGGAAAGAGCAAGGGCAGAAGTACCGGAGAGAGGGCGGGTGAGCGGAAAGCACTCAGCTTATTGTGAGACAAGCACTCGCCTTGTCCGATAAGCACTCACATCGTTGTGCGATCAGCGCTCACGCCGTTGTGCGATAAGGACTCACTTCGTTCCGCGATAAGCACTCACCTCGTTGTGCGCAGCGACCTCCTTGAGCTGTTGCTGCAGCTGCTCCATCTCCCCGCGTCGCCGCTCGTAGTCCTGCTGAAGCCTGCATCGCACCACAGCGGAAAACGACTCACATTATCGCATTAGAGGGGAATGCGCCGTTGCACAAAAATCGGATTGCGGCACTCAGCGACACACTCGACGAGGGATCCAGTGAAATCCCGCGTTTATCACCATCCACCGGATTGAAGGCTCTCGGTGCCATTTGTAGCCGAATGCAATCTACAACAATCTCGGTAGGTGCGAGCACTGTACCGCCTAGAGGTGACTTTTCAGTCGACTCAAGAGGCTCTCGACGCCATTCGTAGCCAGAGCAACCTGCAACAATCTCACCAGGTGCAACCATGGTACTACCGATGTCCTGGCGTTTCCGAATCGTTTACAAAAGGTTCCAAAATGCCATTGGCTACAGAATCAGCATCATGCATGATGCAAGGCGAGCAGACAACCGGGCCCACTCACAATCCATGGCATCGACCGAGCTTCTTATAATCAGCGGCCATCACTCGAAGCACTGCGCGCCATTTCCTCGCCTCCTCTGTCTCCTCGGCTGCCTTGATTGCCGCATTTGCTCTGTCATGAAACATCGTCCCGTTCCCCGTGCGAGGCGATCTCTGACTTCTGTCGTTAATCTCCATGGCGTTGCCGGAACGAGGTGACCGTTGAGTTCTGTCGTTAAACCCCGCGCCGCGTCGACCGGCGGAGTTAGTAGTATTACTATAATACTCGGGATCGCCGTTGGACTGGTAACCACGGATCTGCTGCTGCTGCGGTCCACTTCGCGAACCAGTGTTACGAGTTACAGCAGGATCCTCTGCTTCGTAAAAATACGATTTCGACGGACTGTTTATCGAAGGAGACGTCCTAGTCCCTGCTGAGTTTCGACTAGGAGGCTGCGCGTTTGGGGAGATTTGCGAGAGCATGACGAGTGTATGTAGCAACAGCACTAGGGATAATCTAACTTCAAGTCGGGTGCAGATGGACGAAGGACACACTCGAGAATGTCACCAACGAGGCTACCGAAACAAGCTACGAGTTCCTACGTCCCGCGATATTTGCTAGTGGGCGAGAATGATCAGGAGTAAAACTCTAGGCTCTCGCATTGAACGCGAATCAACATTGCTGAATAACAACCATAACATCACCAGTTCGCTCGATATAAACCACTGCCTGCAAAGCCCAATACTTCAAAAGCCGATCCGCTCACCTAGAATTTGTGGCACAGATACCTAGACCCTCCGCTTTGGCAGCGTAGGATCTCCCAATAACCTTTACAACACGGTGCTAGAGGTTAAGATACGGTACAGCTTGTTCCTGTTTGGTAGTGAATGGTGATACCCGCCTCTCTCCCATGACAGTGGGTTTGGAAAGGAGAAGCAGGGGAAAGGTGCGGAGTTGCCTCCCGCGGTAAGCTCGAAGCGCCGCCTCTTGAAAGTCCCGCGCCTTGCAGCAGAGCGGCGGTGCTGATCCGTCCGATTGAGTACAATATCTGCGGCGAAGTATCTGACACGCTGAAAGGCGCACCACGATTTGCGACTGACACGCCTAGCATGTGTCAGACGCTTTTAGCGAAGTTGAGAGTACAGCAATACATAAAGCCTCCCAACATTTCTTATTACTTCATGTACTATTTTGGAGCCATGATGTGAACGATATGACCAGGACAATGCATTCAAATGTCCCCGTTTTATCTCAACCCTCTCCTTGTCGACCTTTCTCTATTTATCAATCTAGCTTCCGTAGCTTCTTTCTTTGCTTTCCTCCTCTCAATCGCTGCTATCTTAGCAGCTTTCTTCGCCTTCTTGCATCTTTGGCAGCTTGTCTCCTGGCCTTACCCTCCAACCTAGCCTTCATTGCTGCCAGTCTCTCCTCCCTTTCTTCAATAGCAGCTTCTTTTCTGGCCTTACGAAGCCTCTTGGCTGCCTTGGCCGCTGCAACCTCTTCCTTCTTCCTCCTCCTTGCTTCCTTAGCAGCTTTCTTCAAAGCCCGCTCTGCTTTCGCCTCTGCAACTAGCTGAGCCTTGGCAGTTAACTTTTCTGTACTGGCCTCCATGAAACTTGTTGAAGCAATTGTTACAACTGCAGTTCCAGTGTTGCTGCTGCTGCTGCTTCCACCGACGTTGCTGCTTCTCCTTGACGATCCCGTGCCTTTGTTCGCTTTGGCGGCAGATTTGGTATCAGGAACCGAACACACAGCCCCTTCGTCACTCCCATCTGCGTGGCAGGGAGGGCAGTGTGATGGGGCATGCATGGGGAAGTTGGCTGGAAACGAGGGAGGGAGGAAGGACCTGGTTGGCCAATTCATCACGCGAGAATGAGCACAAGAATCATTGTGTAAGTGGTCGTCTGATGTGTTTACGTCTAATTACAGGCACGCTCGAAACAAGAGTCGTTCGTACTAACCACACCACCACCACCTTTACAGAAGCATTCACATTGGAAACCACAGCCCAGTATCCCAGAAACCCACTGACCCATGGCACACTCTACCACAGTCAAACCACCCATCGCTATTGAGAATTCTCCAAAATGGCTACACTTGAGTCGCGTTGAAGTATTTTTTTGAAGTATCCCACTTTTCAGTCGCTTTTGAGAATTCTCAAAAGTATTCCAGGAACCCACTGACCCATGCCACACTCCACCACAGACAAACTACCCATCGCACCACCGCCATAATGCAGACATTGCACACCAGCCTTGACCCGGGTTTTCATCAAAGCAACCCTACAACCCAATAACCCAGCAACCCAGCAACCCAGCAACCCTGCAACCCAGCAACCCAGCACTCACCAGCGCAGTCCACCAGCCCGTCGCACCACCGCCCCTGCTGCACGCACTGCTCCCCATCTGCACACTTCCTCCAACCCTCCGGGCACGCATAGGCTCGGCACAGGTCCGGGTCCTCGTCCTCAGGCTCGGGAGTGGCGAAGCAGTCCGTAACCCCATCACACAGGTTACCAGCAGGCGTGCAGTAACCAGTCTTGGGGCATTTGAGCCAACCGGGGGGGCACGGGTGGGGCAAGCAGTTTGCCTCGTCCCAGCCTCCCAGGCAGTGCTCCTCGCCGTCACACAGGTCGGTCTCGAATATGCAATATGTGGGATCGGAGGGGCATTCTATCTAGAAAGGGAAGGGCGAAAGGGAGGGAGGAAGGAACAGGGGCAGCCAGAGGAGTACCGTAAGTTGGAGGGCTTGTTGGGCCTCATCCCAGCCTCCCAGGGAGTGCTCTTCCCCGTCGCACAGGTCCGTTTAAAAATGCAGTAGGTGGCGTCAAGAGGGCACTCTATCCGGGAAGGGACGGCCGAAAGGGACGGAAAAGGGGGGGAAGAAAGAACAAGAGTTATGATGAGACGTCTCAAAGCAGCTTTCTTACCACGTGTTGTGCACTCATACCATGCCACATGCCACACTCACCATTCCTTGTCTCTGGCAGTACCCCTGCTTGTACAGCTCGCTGCACTCCTCCTCGCCCTCGTCGCTGCCATCGCTGCAATCCTGATTGAAGTCACAGTACCCTCCCCGTCTCATGCACTGCCCGCGTCCCGGACACCTGTGCTGCAGGGGACCATGAGACACAGAGGGAATGTAAGACGGTGTGACTCTCATGACCTCTCGTCCAAATCAGTTTCTTTACGATTCGCATGACAGTGTGACCCTCATGACCTCTCCCAGGCATCAGTTAAACACGCAGTGGCCCCTCCCCCTCATGCCCTGCCGGCCTCCCGAACATCTATCCTGCTTGGAGTAGTGACATGACATGTGGGGAGAACGGGCGATGATGCACGGACTCTCATGTGCACTCACGCGCTCACGTTACGCGCTCACTCCACTCTCATCGCCACAGTCCCTGCCGAAGTCGCAGTTGCCACCACTCCCCCTCCCCCCCCCCCCCCCCCCCCTTCCCCTCATGCACTGACAGCCTCCGGGACACCGTTGGCGCAGTGAAGCAGAGAACGGAGATGAGCCGAACGTGGACAGGGGGAGATGATGAGGAGGACTTTTAGTCCACTCAAAAGACAGCCTCCGGGACACCGTTGGCGCAGTGAAGCAGAGAACGGAGATGAGCCGAACGTGGACAGGGGGAGATGATGAGGAGGACTTTTAGTCCACTCAAAAGACAGCCTCCGGGACACCGTTGGCGCAGTGAAGCAGAGAATGGAGATGAGCCGAACGTGGACAGGGGGAGATGATGAGGAGGACTTTTAGTCCACTCAAAAGACAGCCTCCGGGACACCGTTGGCGCAGTGAAGCAGAGAACGGAGATGAGCCGAACGTGGACAGGGGGAGATGATGAGGAGGACTTTTAGTCCACTCAAAAGACAGCCTCCGGGACACCGTTGGCGCAGTGAAGCAGAGAACGGAGATGAGCCGAACGTGGACAGGGGGAGATGATGAGGAGGACTTTTAGTCCACTCAAAAGACAGCCTCCGGGACACCGTTGGCGCAGTGAAGCAGAGAACAGCGATGAGTCGAACGTGGACAAGGGGAGATGATGAGGAGGACGAGTTTTGGGTCGTGGAAAAACTCGATTATTCTCACGCGGATTTTATACAGGGAGGCTTTTTGTAGCCCCCGGGACATGGTTGGCGGCGCAATGAAGCAGAGAACAGGGAGGATCAATGAGAACAGGGAGGATCAATGAGAACAGGGAGGATCAATGAGAACAGGGAGGCTCAATGAGAACAGGGAGGATCAATGAGAACAGGGGGGGATGAGGAGGAGGACGGGGTGGAAGGCTTTTGACTTGACTCAAAAGTCACCTCGATCTTATACAGGGAGGCTTTTTGTAGCCCCCGGGACACGGTTGGCCGGCGCAATGAAGAGCATGGAGGCACAATGAGAACAGGGAGGCACAATGAGAACAGGGAGGCACAATGAGAACAGGGAGGCACAATGAGAACAGGGAGGCGCAATGAGAACAGGGAGGCACAATGAGAACAGGGAGGCGCAATGAGAACAGGGAGGCGCAATGAGAACAGGGAGGCGCAATGAGAACAGGGAGGCGCAATGAGAACAGGGAGGCGCAATGAGAACAGGGAGGCGCAATGAGAACAGGGAGGCGCAATGAGAACAGGGAGGCGCAATGAGAACAGGGAGGCACAATGAGAACAGGGAGGCGCAATGAGAACAGGGAGGCGCAATGAGAACAGGGAGGCGCAATGAGAACAGGGAGGCACAATGAGAACAGGGAGGCGCAATGAGAACAGGGAGGCGCAATGAGAACAGGGAGGCGCAATGAGAACAGGGAGGCGCAATGAGAACAGGGAGGCGCAATGAGAACAGGGAGGCGCAATGAGAACAGAGAGGCGCAATGAAAACAGGGAGGCGCAATGAGAACAGGGAGGCGCAATGAGAACAGGGAGGCGCAATGAGAACAGGGGGAGATGATGAGGCGGATGGGGAGGAAGGGACCGGAATGTCAATGTCACCCACGCCGCACCGACCCCATTCTGCACCGCACTCCACCGCGCTGCAACGCCCAGGATGCCCCAAGCAACGACCCCAGCCGTACGCCTCTCACCTTCCCCACGCTGCTGCAGTCGAACGCGTCGCAGAACGTCGCATCCTCGTCGCTCTGGTCGCCGCAGTCGGCGATTCCGTCGCAGAGAAACGCGCGATCCACGCACCCCGCCCCGCCTGGACACATAGTTCTCCCCCCCGCGCACTGCAGCAACTCGCGACCTCGACTCGGACGTGCAATCGTTTGCACTGAAGTACTATTGACAAAAATATAACTTTTTACGACCTCCATAGCTGATTCACGTCCATCATCATGCCGCCCTGATAATCCGCCTATAAAAACTCCGCCCATATCTCTGCGTGGTGTTCTGTGACTGATCAGCCGTATAACGAGGCTACTCTTAGAACGTGTAGACGATTGTGTGTGCGCCGTCGCGGAAACAGTTTCTGTGTGAGTCGTGAGACCGGGACCGCGGTTGGTGTTTGGTGATGCCGCGGTTGACGGGACGCCACCCGCCTGTGAAACGACGAGGGAGAGGAGGAGGAGTAAGGGGACCGTTGGGGTATTGGCGATGCGGCACCTCGTCGGCGCGGTTCGTCTTGCGGTTCGCGCGGCGGCCATGACGCCTCAACGCTGTATTACTGTGCTTAATTAGGGCTTACTGTAGTGCGAATGTTCGGAACCTTCAAGAATGATGAAGAAAGAAAGATGCCCGTGGCTGAACCGCTCGACGACGCATTTCGAGCTAATATGTGTTGTCACCTCCAACAATATGAGGGGGTGTTCAGCCGACTAGTAAGGTCGTAAATCAAGTCTAAGAAGCCGAAAACGATCACTTCTTCGCTACAGCCAGCTGGTTCGCTATTTGCAGTAGATTCTACTATGGACATGTGAGGCATGGGTAGGTAGTAGTACCGAATCAGGTGGGTGACGCTAATGGGAGCTATTCGCCGTAAAAAGAAGTCGATGGGGTAGGTCGATCAAAGCGCGCGTAGCGGCGTGGCGCACGGGGAAGGCTGGGACTGTGCTTTCAGATCAGTCTTTAGGTGCCAATCTTAGCCGTAGTTAGCGCCTCGGTTAGGATGGGATGTCATGGATGATGTCGGCGCAAAAGAGAATTTGTTGGTAGTTTTTCCTGCTTCCGCGCGGCGCAGTTCCCTTCTAATCGGTCATGTGCGTTACCGCGGCTTAAATTGCAATACAAATGTCTGTCTATCTGGGTGTTGGATACAGCACTCTTCATGCTCACTTCAGGAGAACGGGGAGGGCGTTTCTGCGCGCTGCAGCTCATTCTTTTGTGGGGGGGGGATTCCGCGTCGCTGTTGTTTCTGCATGGCGTTTCACCTCCAGCTGATTATCTGCGATACTACCATAGTGTGATTAGGGTAAGCATGCTGGTGTTGCGGATAATGAAAATGATCACGACACATACAAACACATCAAATGGTAAAGGTTGGGCCGATTATTACATACATTCTCATCCTATGAAATGTTTCCTTATTTGCCTAAAAAATACTCTTACATCGAATATTTTCTTGATGCCTGGTTCCAAGGTACAATAAAAAGCACTACAAGAGAATCTGCATGTTGCTGATATACCGGTACGGTACCTATGTGCTTTGTCATACCAGGGCACATACAGGGTGAGAGGTAGTATTGGAAACAATAAACGGGCGTTTGCCAATATGCATGTTAACTCCCACTAGCATCTTTACTATACAGTTGATATGAAAAACCATCTGCTTTTATTCACGTACACGAACAAGCAACTTGTAAAAATGCAAGCAATGCAAGAAGCAATAATAAAGAAGACCAGCCCACAAATTTACAACACAGCACGCACTACAGTATCTTGAATGGTTACTTGGTGGTAGCCTTGTTCTTGGCTGCTACCGCTGCTGCCTTTTCAGCCTGTTTCTTCTTCTTCGCCTCAATAGCAGCGGCCTTCTCAGCCTGCTTCCTCTTCTTCTCAGCAATAGCAGCCTCCTTCTCTGCCTGCTGTTTCTTCTTAGCCTCAATAGCCGCCTTCTTTTCAGCTTCCTTTTTCTTCTCAGCCTCGATTGCAGCAGCCTTCTCAGCCTGCTTCCGCTTCTTCTCAGCAATCGCAGCTTCCTTGTCAGCCTGCTGCTTCTTCTTGGCTTCAACAGCCGCCTTCTTCGCAGCAACAGCAGCCGCTTTCTCCTCCTTCGCTCGGATCTTCGCCTCAATCGCCGCGTTCTTTGCCGCCCGCTGCTTCGTCTTCTCCTCTTCTGCCGCCCGCTTGGCTTCCATCTTCTGCTTCTTGGCAGCCACGGCTGCCGCCTTTTTCTCCTGAGCCAGCTTCTTCAGCTTCGCAATCTCCTCCTTGCTCAGAACCACCGGGACGCTGCTGCTGTTGGAAGCACCTGATGAACCACCTGAAGAACCACCCGAGCTGGTCCCATATCCTCCAGTAGCAGGCGGAGGAGGAGGAGGCACAACACAAACCGCCCCTTCATCGCTCCCATCCAAACAATTCACAGCGCCATCGCACCACCGACTGGCTTCCGCACACTGCAACCCATCCGCACACTTCCTCCACCCCTCCGGACACTCATACCCTTTACAGAACTCTTGATTCTCGTCCTCCACACCCATCTCTCCCCAGCAATCCGGCTTGCCGTCACAGAGGCGCCCCTGGGCACAGTAGCTGGTGAGAGGGCAGTGGATCTGGCCGGGCTGGCACGTGTGGTTGAAGCAGTTGAGCTCGTCCCACCCATCGGAGCACTGCGGGATGCTGTCGCACACCTCCTGAGGGCCGATGCAGTACCCAGGGTCGTTGGGACATTGCACCTGCAGGGAGGTTGCGGGAGGGAGGTGGGGAGCGGAGGTGATGGGAGGAGGTGAGTTTGGCTTGCAGTGGAATCACAAGGCACGGCGAGAAGCTGCCGCACGCCAAGGAAGGGCGGATGGAGGAGTCCCGGGGTCGCTGGGGCATCGCCACATGCAGGGAGGTTGCGGGGCAGGAGGGAGGACAGAGCAGCGAGAAGGTCGGGGGGGCAGGAGGGAGGGAGGAAGGAGGAGACAATTGGAACCAACGCATGAGGCAATGCAGGTTGCTGTCCAGGTGCAGTCCCTGGCTGTCAAAGCTCAGCAACAGGGATCGCCCGGCGCTCAGGCGTCAAGAGCAGATCCACTCAGGAGTGGATCTACTCTGGAGTCAATTCACTCAGGAGTGGATCTACTCTCCAGCTCCAGGGATCACACGGCACCAGCCCTTGCGGCAACGAGAACTCACCAGCCCCTTGGGCTTGCTCAGGTCCTTGGGCTTGCTCAGGTCCTTGGGCTTGCTCAGGAGTAGATCTATTCTCCAAGTCCAGGATCACATGGCACGGCACAGGCCCTTGCGGCAATGATAACTCACCAGCCCCTTGGGCTTGCACAGGTCCTTGCTTCTGTAGATGTGGTAGCACCGTTCGGGCTCCTCATCGCTGCCGTCCGTGCAGTCGTAGTTGAGGTCGCAGAATGAGTTGAGCGCACGGCACTGATAGCCCTCGCGGCACCACGTCTGCATGTAGGTGGTGGCGAGACAGGGAGGGTGAGGGAGGGGGGTGGATTGGAGGTGTGGCGGAGGAAGAAGCTGAGGTCGTGGTTCAGGTCGAAAGGACCCGCCCACCAGGCGGCACTCATAGACCTCGGGAAGAGCAAGGGGCCCTCACCTTGCCCCCGCCTCCCCCTCACCTTGCCCCCGCGTCCCCCTCACCTTGCCCCCGCCTCCCCCTCACCTTGCCCCCCCCTCCCCCTCACCTTGCCCCCGCCTCCCCCTCACCTTGCCCCCCCCTCCCCCTCACCTTGCCCCCGCCTCCCCCTCACCTTGCCCCCGCCTCACCCTCACCTTGCCGACGCTGCTGCAGTCGTAGGAGAGGCAGAAGTCGTAGCCGTCGTCGCTGCCGTCGTCGCAGTCGAACACGCCGTCGCACAGCTTGTCCGCTCGCACGCACCCCGTCCCGCCCGGGCACGGCACGTTCCCGGGCCAGCACTCACCGTCCGCCTGCGCCGCCGCCGGAAGCGGCGCCGAGCACGCAATCAGCAGAGCCGCGGCGGCAACGACGAAGGCCGCGGTGACTGCGGGAGACGATCGCGGAGTGACCGCCCTTCCGATCATGATGACCAGTACAATCCGGCGAGATCTCAAAGGATCGGACCGTTCCGTAGAGTGAAAGACCGCCCGCTACTTTTTCAGATGCTGATAGACTCCGAGTCGCTATCGCTAGTTCAGGTCTGTTTCGTTTTCGTCTATCTCTCTTCTCTCCTGGATTTGAAATAGCCTGTCAAAAACGACACTCTGATCGAGCTTCCTCTCGAAAGCTCCGAGTCCTGTTGTCGCGTGATTTGCGAGCACCCTGCTCTGACAAATTATGGCCCGACGAGAGGATAGGCGACTTCTACGGCTACTAAGACATAAGAGAGGACTCTGACAGAAAGAGTTTGCCCGGAGGGAGGGCGGAATTGCACAGCTACACACGCAATGACGCTGCCATCGCTCGCCCATGTCGACGGCGTGTGGAAAGTAAAGCGGGCCAGGGCCACGAGGAGAGAGGAGAAGGCGACACGAGACGAGGGGAGGGGAGTAGAGATGGCGTGTGCTGAGTTGGAACAGGCAGGTGCCAAACACACAACCGAGAACGCTGTACAGAAGCAGGACTTTTTCTGCTGCAGTTGATGCCACCCCACTCCACCCCGCTCCACCTGCGTGCTGATTTCCTGCTCCTGAGTAAGCTGAATGAATTGCCTGAACAAGCTGAGCTGTGGGGGTTGAGCAAAATTGTCTTTCGGTCGGAAATCGCTTATAAAAAAAAACACACACACAAAAAAAACGGCGGTCCATTCGCAGTTCAAAGAATGTGATTTGACGGATGTTCTTCCATGCTCATCTGACGGCTCCGATGGTTCGATGTGGAATTGAGATTGCTAAGGTGTTGCCCCACATGAAGCAAACTCACTTCAGTCGTGGAAACGCTCATGCTTAGAGGGAGGGCATTTCTGAGCGGAATTTCGCGTCGCTGTTGTTTCACCATGGCATTTCACCTCCAACTACTTATATGCGATACTGGCATACGCTGTGCAGCTACGAACGGACAATGGAAAGAGCAATTGTATGATCACGACCGTACCAAAGAGGCTTCGTACTAATTTAATCAATTTTCAGCTCGGCTAGGTTTCAGATACTGTAAGCAGCTTATATAGAGGTTGCATATGGCTTAGTAGTACTGCCAGGGGAATCTATATTGTATTTCTTCATGTAGACAAACAAGAATCGTAAAAAAATGCAAGCAATACATGAACCATTAATAAACAGCACCAGCCCACTAAACTACAACACAACACACAAAACATTATATTGAGTGGTTACTTGGTGGTTGCCTTGTTCTTGGCTGCAACTGCTGCCGCCTTCTCAGCTTGCTTCTTCTTCTTAGCTTCAATAGCAGCAGTCTTCTCTGCCTGCTTCCTCTTCTTCTCAGCAATCGCTGCCTCCTTCTCAGCCTGCTGCTTCTTTTTGGCTTCAATAGCTGCCTTCTTCTTGGCGTCCTTCTTTTTCTTAGCCTCAATCGCAGCAGCTTTCTCCTCCTGCTTCCTCTTCTTCTCCGCTATTGCAGCTTCCTTTTCAGCCTGCTGCTTCTTCTTGGCTTCAGCAGCAGCTTTCTTCTCGGCAACAGCAGCCTTTTTCTCCTCCTTAGCTTTGATCTTTGCCTCAATCGCAGCGTTTTTGGCCGCCCGCTGCTTCGTCTTCTCCTCTTCTGCCGCCCGCTTGGCTTCCATCTTCTGCTTCTTGGCAGCCACGGCTGCCGCCTTTTTCTCCTGAGCCAGCTTCTTCAGCTTCGCAATCTCCTCCTTGCTCAAAACAACTGGAGTGCTGCTGCTGTTGGAAACACCTGAACCACCTGAAGAACCACCTGAGCTGGTCACAGTTCCTCCAGTAGCAGGCGGAGGAGGAGGAGGAGGAGGCACAACACAAACCGCCCCTTCATCGCTCCCATCCAAACAATTCACAGCGCCATCGCACCACCGACTAGCCTCCACGCACTGCAACCCATCTGCACACTTCTTCCATCCCGCTGGACACGCGTACCCCTGGCAGAAGTCCGGGTTCTCGTCCTCCTCGCCCATCTCCCCAAAGCAATCCGGCGTTCCATCGCACAGCCGGCCCTTTGCGCAGTAGCCGGTGATGGGGCAGTGGATCTGGCCGGGCTGGCACGTGTGGTCGAAGCAGTCGAGCTCGTCCCACCCGTCGGAGCACTGGGGGATGCTGTCGCACACCTCCTGAGGGCTGATACAGTACCCAGGGTCGTTGGGGCACCGCACCTGCAGGGAGTTTGCGGGAGAGAGGTGGGGGAGGGATGAGAGGGGGACAGTGGATTCAATTGGGCTGGCATGTGTGCACGAAGCAGTCGTGCTCGTCAGGCCCGTTGGAGCACTGGGAGAAGCTGTCATACACTTCCAGGGGGGTGATGCTGAGACCTTGCAACGCTTTACTACGGACCCCTTGGCAGACGATAGCTCACCAGCCAGCCCCTTGGCGGCGCACAGGTCCTTCTGCAGGTCCTTGTAGCAGGGGTAGCACTGCTCGGGCTCCTCGTCGCTGCCACTGTTTCAACCAGAGCCATGTTGCTCCTCTTTCACTGCTGTGACTGAGGATAACTCACCAGCCCCTTGGCGGCGCACAGGTCCTTCTGCAGGTCCTTGTAGTAGGGGTAGCACTGCTCGGGCTCCTCGTCGCTGCCGTCCGTGCAGTCGTTGTTCAGATCGCAGTAGCCGCTCACCGGCCGGCACTGGTAGCCCTCGCGGCACCACGTCTGGATATATGTGATGGCGTGGGATGGGAGGGACGAGAGGGAAAAGGGTGAGAAAAAGTGGGCGTGTGGGAAGGGGAACCGGCCTCGGCAGGGCAGCAGTCGTTGTTGAGATCGCAGTACGCGCTCTCCGTGCGGCACTGATAGCCCTCGCGGCACCACATCTGGATAGGAAAAGAGAGAGAGAGAGAGAGAGAGAGAGAGAGAGAGAGAGAGAGAGAGAGAGAGAGAGAGAGAGAGAGAGAGAGAGAGAGAGAGAGAGAGAGAGAGAGAGAGAGAGAGAGAGTGAGAGAGTGAGAGAGAGAGAGAGAGAGAGAGAGAGAGAGAGAGAGAGAGAGAGAGAGAGAGAGAGAGAGAGAGAGCAGAGGGGACAGGAAGGGACGGGCAGCAGTGCCCGCAGCAGGCGTTGCTGAGATCGCAGAAACGCGCCCACCGGGCGGCACTGGTAGCCCTCGCGGCACCACGTCTGGCGGTAGGTGAGAGGAATGAGGGGACAGAGTCGGAGGAGATGAGAGGTGGTAGATGAGAGCAGGCGTGCCCGTGCTCCCGTCCGTGCAGTCATTGTTTCGGTCGCAGTACGCGCTCTCCAGTGCGGCATTTGTAGCCCTCGCGGCTCTACGTCTGAAAGTAGGCAGCGGCACAGGGAGAAGGAAGGGAGATTGGGGGTGTGTAAGGGGAACAAGCTAGGACCGCCAGTCGCTGCTGAGATGGGGCGATTGGGGGTGTGTAAGGGGAACGCGCTCTCCGTGCGGCATTGATAATCCTCGCAGCACCACGTCTGCGTATAGGTGGCGGCACATGAGATGGGGAAAAGGCGAAGGGGACAGGTTGGGGGCCGGGCAGCAGTCGCTGTTGAGATCGCTGAACGCGCTCACGGTGCGGCATTGTTAGTCCTCGCAGCACCACGTCTCGCGGGATGAGAGGGAAGTGGAGGGGAGAGATTGGGCACGTGCTCGTTGCCTCCACTCCCCTCCCGTCCCGTGCTCTCGTCTTCCGCCTCGCCGACTCACCTTGCCGACGCTGCTGCAGTCGTAGGAGAGGCAGAAGTCGTAGCCGTCGTCGCTGCCGTCTTCGCAGTCGAACACGCCGTCGCACAGCTTATCCGCTCGCACACACCCCGTCCCGCCCGGGCACGGCACGTTCCCGGGCCAGCACTCGCCGTCCGCCTGCGCCGCCGCCGGACGCGGCGACGTGCACGCAATCAGCAGCGCCGCGGCGACGGCGAACGCGCGGTGACTGCGGGAGACGATCGCGGAGTGATCGCGTTTCGGGCCATGATGATGGCCTAGATTTAATATGATTTGATTCGATCCTATCCGGAGAGTTTTCAATCAGCCGACTTTTGCGTCCGGTCTCTGTCTCGATTTTCTGGCGACTAAGAGAGTCGAATCTTCGTTCCACTCGAGCTTCCTCTCCTCTGAAAAGCTCAAAATCGTGTTTTGCGGGATACACAGGCACGCTGCTCTGGAAAATCACCTGACGAGAGGCTGATATGGTGGATCAAGGACAGAGAGGACAGGAAGGAGATGAGGGATGACGCAATGGTCCTCGTGTGGCGTGAAGGCGTATTCCTGCACTTCGAGTCATCAGCGATTCGGGTCATCCGAGATTGTGGGATCGAATCGGAAAATCGAAATGCACCCCAATCTCTTGATTTCTAATTTCCGATTGGATCCCACAATTTCGGAGGGCCCGAAGTGCTGATGACCCGAAGTGCAGAAATACGCCCTGAGAGGCCGGCGAAGCACGCAGCTACGCTGCCCGAGGTCACCCATGTCGCTCGCTGGTGTGTGGAAAGATCAGACCCAGGACAACAGGAGAGAAGGCGACACGAGACGAGGGAGAGGAAGGGCGCGTGCTGAGTTGGAACAGGCAGGTGCCTCGCCCTAACAGAAAAGAAACCTATATAAGGGTGCATTCCCGGCCTCCGGTCTTCCGTTGTCCGGGCCTTCCGAAATTGTGGGATCCAATCAGAAAGTCCACGTTTCGAGATTTGAATTTTGGGATTGGATCCCATAATTTAGGAAGACCCTAACGCCCGGAAGACCCGAGGCCGGGAATCCTCCCTAAGCTAAAGGGAGTACACTTTTGCTGCTGGTGACTACTGTTCTTCGAGCTTTGATGTACAGTGCACACTAGTGCAGGCTGCCAGTGCGAGAAAGACCCTACTCCACCCCACTCACCCAATCCAATCCATCTCCACCTGTTGATTGCTAAACAGCAGAAGAATGGCCTGAACAAGCTGAGCTGTGCAGGAGGTTGAGCAGAACTGTATGTGGGAGGCCTCGTTTTGGGTTTCGCCGGTTTCACAATTCGTCTATTTTCGGCGGCGCGTGGAGGGAGGGAGTGCCCGATTTTTCTGTTTTGGTCAGTTCTGTTTTGGAAACCGTTGTTGCTTCGAAGTGGAGTTTGGTGTGAGATAGACAGCGTGGGCTGCCCAACAAGCAGAGACAAATATTTGGTAGAGCACAGTAACCTACCTGCTTACTTAATTTGAAACCTGAGCAGTCTGCGTCGCGTTTGCTAAAATAAGCTCTACACGGGACTGGATTGGATAACTGGGAATTCCCCTGGATACAATAGGCTGAGCTGGAGGCAGAGCAGTTTGCTCCAAGGGTGGTGGAAAGCTGACGTGTATGTGAGCGGAACGCCCTATGGATCAACGTCAACAAACGTGCAGCGCCGCATATCCCGGCGCAGCGTATATTGATGTATCTACACTATTCTATTTTCTAAACTTAGCCTTGGCTTGCTAAGTTTGTGCTCAACCACACCTTTAGGACGATAACTGCGATTTTTTTTAATATAAATAAGAAACAAATATTTGCGAGCTACTCTTGCAGACCAAGGAATCCAACAAGGAACATATACTCTATGGCATTGTAAGCAGCCACCCAGGCTTGCTCCACATCTCCTCCCCACTCCTCCCCCATGGCATCTGAGAGCACAGCCACAACGGCAGCTCTTAGCTTCTGTAGAGTTCGCAGGGGTGGGGGGGGAGCGGGGTGGAGGGAAATAATTAAATATGGAACAAGTCGATACAAGAGTCATTATGGAGAGGACTGAATGTGGGTGGGTGGGGGGAAGGAGGGGGAGGGTGGGGAGGGGGGAATATGGGGGTTGGTTATTTCGGGGATATCATACACAGAGGAGCGTCGGCATTAGATACAAGAACATACAGTAAGAAGTCTGATATGGAGCTGTTAGAACGATTCCATACCGGGGCGTGTTCGCTTGTGACGCCAAAAAGTAGGTGTCGAGAACCGAGGTCGGCTAGAGTCGTCTTCAAAGACCGAACCTCCTTGTGCTTGTCCAGCTTCACTGCTGCTGCACACACCTGGCAGAGGGAGGGTGGACGATATGACTTTTGAGTCGACCCAAAGGTCAAAAGTCGCCTCATTTTGAGTCGACCCCAAAGTCAAAAGTCACCTCGTCTTGAGTCGACTCAAAAGTCTCCTGCTTCACTGCTGCTGCACACACCTGGCAGAGGGAGGGTGGACGAGAAGTAGCAAACGAGGCGCCTGGAGAAACCCCAACCATGTAATTTCAATACTCCTGTCCGCCACATGTCTGCCTCAGCAAGTCGGCTTATTTTGGGTGTTAAGGTTGAGGGCTTGGGCTTGAAGTTCAGGGTCAAGGGACTTTTGAGTCGACTCAAAAGTTATTCTGGGGGTTAAGGTTGAGGGCTTGGGCCTGAAGTCCAGGGTCAAGGTTTCAAGGTTCATGGTGGCATGTGCCTGCAGCAGCTTGTTCTCGCAGTGCGGCTGCTTTGCTCTCTCTCTATCCTCATCAGAAGCATTTAGAGACTTTTACATCATCTAACATGCACAATCCACCATCCACAATCCACCATCCAACATTCACTCACCATACGCATGGTCATGGTGGCATGTGCCTGCAGCTGCTTGATCTCGCGGTGCGGCTGCACTCTCTACATTGGCCAGTCCCACTGCTCACCACATCTCATGCAGCATAGCAGCACACATTAACTCACCATACGTGTGTCACTAACCATGCGCATGTCACTCACCATGCGCATGTCACTCACCATGCGCATGCCACTCACCATGCGCAAGCCACTCACCATGCGCATGTCACTCACCATGCGCATGCCACTCACCGTGCGCCATTCACTCAACACGCACACCATCCTCTCACCATGCGCATGGCCGTGGTGGCATGCGCCTGCAGCAGCTTGTTCTCGCGGTGCGGCTCCTTGGCTCGGCGCGTCATGGAGAACATTTGTTTCGCCTCGGGAATCAGCTCCAGCAGCCTGACAGCGATGGTGGGGGGGAGGATGGGGACGGTGGGAGCAGGATGAGGGCAGGGTGCATGGGTAAAGTCATGGAGAACATTTGTTTCGCCTCGGGAATCAGCTCCAGCAGCCTGCGGAGATGCAGGGTGGATGAAAGGGTGGGAGGGAGGATAGAAACGGAGGTGGGGGATGGAAAAGGAGGGAGCAGGATGAGGCAGGGGTGCATGGATAGAGGCATGGAGATTATTTGAGCTGCATCAGGTATCAGTACCAGCAACCTGCAGTGATGCAAAGGGGAGGGAGGATGGGAAAGGAGAGAGCAGGATGAGGCAAGGAGGGTTTGGGGTTGGAGGTTTAACGGGCAGGTGGCAGGGGGGCAGGGGACAGAGGCGAAGGGAATAACTGCAAACGGGACGAGAAACAAGGGTGGAATGGATAACGATGGGTGATGATGGGTCAGTGTAGGTGAAAACGTGGGAGCGTGGATGCAAATAGCAAGCATGGGTGAGGCCAAGTGGCAGTGCTTGGGACGCTACTTGATACGTGAACGGCACTTGATACTTGATACGTCTTGATACACGTGCGAACACGAGACGAACGGAAGCGAAGCGTGGTGTAGGCCGGATTGTCACGATGCATGTGGGGTGGAGGTTAAGGGCAAGAAGGGAGGGCTTTGATGTTTCTTTTGAGAATTCTCAAAAGTAGCGTCAAGGAGGGCTTTGATGTTTCTTTTGAGAATTCTCAAAAGTAGCGTCAAGGAGGGCTTTGATGTTTCTTTTGAGAATTCTCAAAAGTAGCGTCAAGGAGGGCTTTGATGTTTCTTTTGAGAATTCTCAAAAGTAGCGTCAAGGAGGGCTTTGATGTTTCTTTTGAGAATTCTCAAAAGTAGCGTCAAAGAGGGCTTTGATGTTTCTTTTGAGAATTCTCAAAAGTGGCATCAAGAAGGAGGGCTTTTGAATCGACTCAGAAGTCGCCTGGTGTAGGCCGGATTGTCGCGATGGCAGGTGGTGGTGGTCAAGAGGAAGGACGGGAGGAGGGAAGGGAGGGGGGAGAGAAGGGAGGGGGGAGAGAAGGGAGGGGGGAGAGAAGGGAGGGGGGAGAGAAGGGAGGGGGGAGAGAAGGGAGGGGGGAGAGAAGGGAGGGGGGAGGGAAGGGAAGGGGGAGAGAAGGGAGGGGGGAGAGAAGGGAGGGGGGAGAGAAGGTAAGGGGGAGAGAAGGGAGGGGGGAGAGAAGGGAGTGGGGAGAGAAGGGAGGGGGGAGAGAAGGGAGGGGGGAGAGAAGGGAGGGGGGAGAGAAGGGAGGGGGGAGAGAAGGGAGGGGGGAGGGAAGGGAAGGGGGAGAGAAGGGAGGGGGGAGAGAAGGGAGGGGGGAGAGAAGGTAAGGGGGAGAGAAGGGAGGGGGGAGAGAAGGGAGTGGGGAGAGAAGGGAGGGGGGAGAGAAGGGATGGGGGAGAGAAGGGAGGGGGGAGAGAAGGTTGGGGGGAGAGAAGGGAGGGGGGAGAGAAGGGAGGGGGGAGAGAAGGGAGGGGGAAAGCCTAGTGTTGGACAAGGTGGTGGGAGGATGGACAAGAAAGGAGGGAGGATGGGAACGTTCCTCGGTGCAAGCCGGTTTGATGCAATGGGGATGTGCAGGCAGGAGGCACGTAGCCATACAGGCGGGAGAGGGATGTGCTGTGCAAGGGGAAAGGATGGAAAAGGCGGGAAGGGGATGACGAGGGCGGAGGGAGGATGTAACGCCTGTGGGCTAGTGTTAAGGGCATTCCGCTGCGCCAAATAACACCCTCGTTTTGACCCAGTGGGTGGCGAGGTGTTATAGAGGATGGACGAAATGAGGAGGGAGGATGGAAATGCTTCTAAATGCAGACCGGCTTAACGCGATATCTCATCTTAACGGTAACTTACCGTTAAGTGAATGTGATCGGAGGGGAGGGGAATGTAGGACTACTATCAATACAATGGCAGAGAACGGTCGCGCCGCGCTCGTTTAGGATTACTTGAGGTAAAGTTCGAGGGCGTGTTTAGACACATCGGGTTCAATCTTAGACGCGAACGTCGCTCGTATCAAGTCCACCTGCTCCGTTGGCAGTACCAGCGGCGGCGCCTCGATCTTCCCGGCCGCCATTTCGCGGCGCGAGCCGCTGCTGATCCTACTCTACCTCCTCTCTTCCACACGAAAGCCGCTGCTGCGCGCTTGTAGCGCGAATGCTACTAGCGAAACGCTACTGGCGATTTATACTAGCCGTTGGAACTCAACCACCACCGCCAGTTCTCCCTCCAGTCCACACGAAAGCCGCTGCTGCGTGCTTATAACGCGAATGCTACTAACGAAACGCTACTAGACAGTTTTACTTAGCCGTTGGAACTCAACCACCACCGCAAGTTACCCCTCCCTTTCACGCTCCTGCCGCTTGTTTCTTCCAGAGTCTGCCTTCAAGGACAAAATGCGGGTACTATTGTCGTGTCGAGGATAAAGCGGAGGAGACAGAAAGAATTGACCCTGTAACGCGTGTGTGATGGGATGGGATGGGATCGGATGCTTCTGAAAACTGCAGACAAATGCTCTCAAATGTGTCTCCTGTGAGAAAGGAAAATGACACGGTGAGTTGCCCTTTCGTGCTGTGAGAAAGCAACTCGCTGGACTCGAAAAGTGCGAAATAATGCCGGGATGGGAGGAAGGACCAGCCGCGTCGCGTTCGTTACAGTGATACATGCTGATTGGTGGATGTAGCTCTGGAAGTGTGGTGGTAAGGGGTATGGTAGGTGACTGGACCGGTGATATGGGATGGAACAACAAAACAGTAGGGTGGGTCAGTGGGTGCAGTTCCAAAACATGGCAGCAAATCAGCGAAATTATCTCGTGGGTACAGTACAGTGCCAGACTCTTCTACACCACCAGGGTGGGGGTGGGTTCAGCTTTGACTGAACTCGTTTCCGTGCGGAATAAACCAAGCCTAAATAGGATCTTTCCCAAAGTAGGCTTGGACCAGTAAATTAGCACTACAAGCTAACAGTATGTGCCATAAATAAACCTCACAAAAACAGGATATATATTGCCCTTCTTCATGTCAGACCAGGGCAAGAGAACCACGAAAACCACATGGGTCCAGTAATGATTTTGGAGGCTAGTTAAAGAAAATCCCTGTGCTCCCAGAGCGAGAGGCGAGCTGCCATTGGCCGACGCCTCTCTCCTCCTCATCCTCCTGGTCTCGATACACATTCCTCTGTGTGTGCACATACCCCGCTGTCAAAATATTGTGAACAGTTGCCTGCACATTGTCGAAAAAGAAGAAAGGGCTTATGAGACGGAAGGCAGCAATACCAGCAAGCACTGTTCAGGGTTTAGAAACAGTGCCGCTTGGAACAGCAACTTGCCACAAGAACGAGGCAAGGCAAGAAGGCAGGGGCGTACACAATAGCTTGCTGGTTGTGGGCTCCCTATGTTTGGCAGCCTCGCATGATTGCAACGCTATGGGCTTGCAACACTTTCCGCTTGCATTACCATGCGAAGCTGTATTCGCCACGTCTCTCATACACAGATGTGTCGTCACTCACATGCGTCCAAGACTACAGGCTTGTGTGCACATACGGCTACACGACCACTCACATGCTTCCTGCATCGAAGGATGGATGCATGCACGGCATCCGAGTGACTGACAACAATGATGTTTTCGTCCTGCCACTGCAGCACAAGGCATAACAGCAAGGCAGCACAACAGGGAGAGAGCACAATCAAGGTGATCGGTCAGTTTTGATACGTCTCAGAACACATGCACAGCATCCGAGTGACTAACCACGATGATGTTCTCGTCCTGCCACTGCAGTGCATGGCACAAGGAGGGAGTAGAGCACAGAGCGAGTAGAGCAGGAACGATCAGTATTAATTGACACACACACGACTCAAAATGCGTGAACGACATCCGCGTGACTGACAACAAGGATGTTCTCATCCTGCCACTGCAGCACAAGGCATAACAGCAAGGGAGCACAACAGGTAGAGAGCACAATCAAGGTGATCAGTCAGATTTGAGACGTCCCAAAACAACATGCACGGCATCCGAGTGACTGACCACGATGATGTTCTCGTCCTGCCACTGTAGCACATGGGGCAGCAGAGAACGGGTACAACAGGGAGGGAGCACAGTGGGGCTTTATCGCCGCGTCATGCACGACACCCGAGTGACTGACCGCGACGATGTTCTCGTCCTGCCACTGCAAGGCATGGACCAACAGGGAGGAGCACAGCAGAGGTGAACAGACTGCAACACATGTGAATAGGAGTACGTGGACCATAACGCACTGCTGTAGAGAGGGTATTTTTGAGACGTCTCAAAAACACCCTCTCTACACGTGGCTATTCTCTATCTGTTTTTTGAGACGTCTCAAAGACTGCAACACATGTGAATAGCAGTACATGGACCATAACGCACCGCTGGTGGAGGTGAGTGAGACAAACCACCTTGTGACAGGCAGAGAGAGAGGACCCCACCTTGTGACAGGCAGAGAGAGAGGACCCCACCTTGTGACAGGCAGAGAGAGAGGACCCCACCTTGTGACAGGCAGAGAGAGAGGACCCCACCTTGTGACAGGCAGAGAGAGAGGACCCCACCTTGTGAAACCCTGGTCAATATTGCGATGCCTGGCCTCCCTCTAGCCCACCTGCCCTCCTCCTTTCCTTCAGAGACGTTCAGTTATGCTTCAACCTCCATTTAACCCAACTTCTCTGCCACAAAACCACCTGCTCTGCCACAATCCCACCTGCCCCTCCCCATTCTCCACCTGCTCTTTCACGTGGTCAATAGAACGCAGAAGCCATGCTCCCCTTGCCCACCTCCCTGCACCTTCCTTTGCTCCACACCCCCATCTTACCAACCTGCTCCTCCCCCATTCCCCACCTGTTCAGCCACACGGTCAATCGATCGCAACAGCCGCAACGCTGCCTCCTCACCCACATCCCTTCACTCTTGCACCCATCCCTGTCCCTGCCCTTGCCCCACTACCCCTATCTCTGTGTGCCCACCTGCTCTGTCACGTGGTCAATTGACCGCAGCAGCCGCAACGCTGCCATTTGCCCGCCTTCCCTGTCCCTCCCTTTGCCCCACCCAACCCCTTTCCCCCATTTGTGGTCAATTGACCGCAACAGCCACACCCCCCGTCAAACCTCCCTGCACATCCCTTTTTCCCATCCCCTTTTCTGCCCACCTGATTCCATGCCCACCAGCTCCCCTTCCAATGCCCACCTGCTCTGCCACGTGGTCAATCGACCGCAGCAGCCGCAACGCTGCCTCCTCCACGTCCTCAGGCCAGCCTGGCAGTGCCACGTCAGCAGCAGCAGTCGCCGACCGAGCGACAACTGGCAGAATCCTGTCCACAGAGCCTGGCGGGAACATGCCTTCCAGCCAGTCACGAGGTGCCAGCGAGGCGGCAGCACTGCTGCCAGTGTTGCCAGCTACAGTACAGAATCCCTCATTCTGCCCCTGCCCCTGCCCCTGCCTCAGCCCCTGCCCATGCCCCTGCCCCAGCCCCTGCCCCTGCCCCAGCCCCTGTTCCTGTCCTTGAAACTGCCTCTCACCCCTTTCTTGTCCCTGTCCGGGTGATGTTCTCATTTGCCCACCGCCCATCCCTACCCCCCCCATCTCCCCAGACTGTACAAACAGCTCCACTGCAGCTGCCGCTGCTGCTGCTCCTGCTGGTGCTGGTGCTGCTGCTGCACTACTCCCCGCCCCCCCATCCGCCTGCCTCACCACCTCGTGCAGCCCGTAGTGCACTGCCACGCGCACCTCCCCCCCCCCCACGCCCCCCGCGCCCTGCCATGCCCCGTCCCACATGCCGAACTTGCGCTTGCGGTCCGGAGGAAGGGCTAGGCTCGGCTGAGGCGTGAGGGAGGATTGCTGCAGGAAGGGTAAAGGGGGTTTGGAAGGCAGGGCGGGAAAGGGTAAGGGAAGGCGGGGGTTGGGGGGAGATCAGGCAAGAGAAGAGGTACCTGTCGGCGCCGCATGATGTGCTGGTGACGTGCACATGCAGATCTGGACACACCTCCACCACTGCTGGCACCACTAGCACCACTAGCAGCAGCACCACCCAGGAATGGGGGAGAGGGGGGAGTGGGGAGTGGGGAGAGAGGAGCGGGGAGAGCAAGAGGTACCTGTCGGCGCCGCATGAGGTGCTGGTGACGTGCAGATGCAGACCTGGACACACCTCCACCACCACTGCCAGCACTGCCAGCACTGCCAGCACTGCCAGCAGCACCAGCTGCAGCACCGTTACTGGCAGCAGAGCCACCCGCAGCAGCGGCACCAGCACCACTAGCAGTAGCAGTAGCAGTAGCAGCAGGGCGACCACCAAGCTTGCTGCGGCGGAAGCGCGAGGAGAAGAAGGAGGAGAGGAAACTACTGCCCCCTGGAACCATGCTGCTAATTCTGCTGCTGCCGGCGTTTTGAGACGTCTCAAAACTACTGCCCCCTGGAACCATGCTGCTGATTCTGCTGCTGCTGCCGGCGCCAAAGCTGCCGCCAATGCTACCACCACCAGCACCCGCATCAGAATCAGTAGCAGAGGCAGCAGCGGTGGGAGCAGAGGAGGAGGGAGGAGGAAGGGGTTGTGCGTCAGTGAGTGCGAGCAGCAGCTCGAGGGCGGTTTCCACACAGCGCAGGTACGGCGCGCACACTATGCGCGTGACTCCCCACCCCTCCTGCCTCAGCCTCATGCCCACCTGGCCATGTGATGGGGGAACATGGGGAGGGGATTCCAGGCATGGGGATATGGTACAAGTTGAAATGTATGTATAATACATGTATAATATGGTGGAATATATGTATAATATGGTGGCACTAATTTAGAGTGTGGTGATACATATATTTATATATACCCCTGCATCATTTTCTGAGGTGGCTCAAAATACGATTCGTGACATAACCGCATGCCCACCTCCTCTCCCCCTCTTCCTCCTCGCGCTCACCTCATAGGCCTGATATTTCCCCCATTCCGACAGGGGCGGGTCCCACGCGCGTTCCGCGCCCTCTCTGCGCGCCCAAAGGGGGTCGGCGGCGTCCGCGCGCTCCCCGTGGTGCATCACGAACACGTGCTGGCGGCGCTGCATAATCCCCGACTGGAACCCGCACAGGCGCGAAATCAGCCGCCCCAGGGGCGGGTTCATGCGCCGGCAGTCCACCTGCCGCGGCGGCGGAAGCGGAAGCGGCGGGGGCAACGTTGGCGCAAGCGGAAGGGTTGGCGGGGGTGCAGGCGGAGCCCCTGCCGCGGGGAAGAAGCACGAGCCCGCGCACGACGGCGCGGGGAACGGGGACGCGGGGGAGCTCGCGGGGAAGGTTGCGATGACAGAGGCGGAAGAGTGGTAGGGGGAGCCGAATGGTGCGGCGGAAAAGGCGTCCGCGGACATGGGTTCCGCGGAACCCGGGGAAATCCCGCGCGGCGGGGAGCGCGGGGGGGAGCGCGAGGGGGAGTGCGGGGAGGAGATGAGGGAGTAGGCTGGGAGGGTTAGGTCCCGGAAGGGAAGGGGGTTGAAGGTGGTTGCTGGAGGGTGAAAGGAGAGGGATTTGGTTCGGATTAGCTTGGTGGGTGAGTAACAATCCATGGCTGCTGATTGCGCCGCGGAAGACGCTTCGGTGGCCTTGAAAGTGAATATATCCCGCTGCTGCAGCTGCTGCTGCTCCGAAAACTGCTGCGGCTGCTGCGAAAATTGCTGCTGCTGCTGCTGAAACGGTTGTAGCTGCAATGCACCCCCACCCGCGTCTCCCGCCGCGTTACCCGCTGAGTCTAGTCTTGCGGGAAGCACCACCTGCGGAAGCAGCGTCTGATGCGGCTGCGCCTGCGGCGGCCACAGCAACTGCTGCTGCTGCTGCTGTCGCTGACGTTTGCCCCCGCCACTGTTACCCTTTTCGCCAACGGTTTCGTCGACGTCGCCGTCCATCATAGCGACAGCTTCGTCTTCATCGCAATCATCGACCGCTCCCAACGCATACGGGCCCCACTCGCTGTTCGCGCCGGCTCGCCGAGTGGAAAGGCCTCTGTGAAGCACTAAATCGACCAGCTTCGCCATTACTATTTGCAAACTATTTGCAGACTGTTTGCTCAAACTACTTGCAAGGAGGCTAGGTTATTATTCCGCTAGAAAAAGGATAACGGTGGAGACTATGAAAAGGCTAAATTGCGGCTTAGACGATTCCGGATAACAGTGAGCCTCTGCGACGCACTAAAGCCGTTCGCTTCGCCATGACGACTCACTTAGATTTCGACAGAATCAGCAGTCGCGTCGACTGCTTTAGTATGTACACCTCTTCGAGTCGCGAGGACGCTGTTTGAATACACGAGACCAGTTCAGAGTCGTATCGATGTACGAGATAGCGAAATAATATAGCAGAAAGGGAACTTCTTTATTAGCTGAAGCGAGAAGTTACGTAACTTATTGCCCCCCCTATGAGCCGTGCGAGCCAGTCCCCTAGGCAAGTGTGCGCATTATGAGTCAACCCTAAATGAGTCGATTCTGAAGAATGCCTCTGCAGCCCAGTCGTTCAGTCTCTATGACTGAAGGCGCGTCTCGAATTGGGAAAATTCTATGAGATTGCCAGCCCGGAACGGAGACGGAGTTGGCATCTCGCTGAGAGCGCGCGTGGGTGGATTCTCGATAACAGAGGTCAGAAAGCCACGACCAAGCAATGTCGGCCTCCGTTGAGTTCTTGAGATAACGAGTTGAGCAAGTGAAACGACGACGGTCTTACATTAGAACATGGTCAGTTTAGGGGATAAAGCGACGGCTGGAGGAAATGACAGATCGCCGTGTTTTTTAATTTCCAATTCCAATGGGCAGTGGTTTTGACAGCGCATTGCTCTGCGCTCGCGTCCAATACCTTGGGGCACATTCTTTTTCAGTTTCCCCTTTTAAGTCCAAAAATACAAGTTATTTTTAGTTTACGGGGTATTAAAAATGTATTCGTCGAGTCCATAGCAAACGCTCAGCTCGGGACAAAAAAAATATAACCCTCATGGATGGTATGCCACGAAGAGAGCATCAACCCTAAACACCATGGGGCAAGGTGTTTAGGGTTGATGCCTCCCAAATGGCTTGTCATCCGAGTGGGTTTTAGTTTTCCACTGGCCTCTATACTGAACCCAGGTAAACTTAATATTTGCCCCTCTATACTTTTGGTCATGAAAAACGGGAAACAGCAATATAAACTGACCGCGGGAATTGGGCGCGAGCGCGGTGGGAGTAGCTGTCAAAGCCACTGCCGAAAGGAATCGAAAACGCGCAAACACGGCGGTCCGTCATTTCCTCCGACGGCTGCTTCCATCTTTCCCGCAAGCGCTCCGAATGTTTTGGTTCCGGTCGGACGGACCTTCGAAGGCCGAAAAACTCGTTGGCGATAGAAGGACGACCGATGATTACGCCGGTTCTAACCTGATGACCGCAGACAGCAGTGAGGGAGAAAGCCTGTGTAGCAGCTATGGCAGACAAGTGAACTGCCAAAAGCTTTTCCCGAAAAAAAAAAGTTTCAAACGCTTGGATGCGGTGCAGTACGCATATTTGTGGTACAGAGATACTATGGCATGGAGGTTGGGGAGATGAGCTTTCTCCTTAGGATGTGTTTTTCCAACTTGGTTAACTCCATAAGCGTGTGTCGGCTGTTACAATATCACCTTCGCGCTTTATATTTTTGAACCACGACGACACCATACCGGCCCTCGCAGTGAGAAGAACGCGACCTCGTGTCAGTTTCTTGGAACTTCGGCTCGGGGAGGGAGGGACCATGGGCAAAACGGGTTGCGTTGCGTGCGGTTTGGTTTGGGCCCAAATGGCATCCCAGGGGCCTCCGGAGCCCTCGGGAATGTCGACAATCCGACGACATATGTTTGCGCTGGGAGATTCCTGAGAAGTAAATCTCAGCGGACAAAATAGGAGAGCTCGCCACGTCGAGCCACGCGGACCAATAGGGGGGAGCAGGACCGTCCCCACCGTGTACTAGGCTGCCACGACGTGGCCGTCGTGGCCACGCGTTGCCCCAGCGGTGATTTTCCCAAAGCGGGAAAACGTTCACACCCTTGAAAACGGGCCAGCCCGATCCACGCGGCAAAAATCGGACCGTCCAGGATGTAAAGGTTCTGTGGCATCGCGTGTTGCATCCGATGTCGGTGTCGGCCAGTACATCCAGAGGCCCACAACCAAGCCATGCGGCACAATCCCAACGCTTCTATTTTCAATGAACCTAAGGAAACAACCAAGCGCGCCGAATGTAAGTCGGCGCCGATCTTTGGGCGCCCACGGTAGGACTGGCACGGTGGGATTCAAGAATTCCGGAACCCTCGGAGATTCGAGCCTGCATGGAGTAATTTCTACTGAGAGGCCAATGTCGGCCCCAAGCCACGTAACACACGCCCATTCCACCGTGGAAAGGGCCTGGCTTACGGCCCTTCGGTGCAGCGCGAAGTCACAATAGCCATGCTTGGCACGTGGCACTTCGGGCAGTGCGCCGCCTATGCGAGAACACATGCACGGCGGCAGGAGCATAGGGGTGTGCGTGAATCGCGGCAGCGTCGGAGTCGCTCAGGACCATACCCGTCCGTAACCGTGCGGGCCTGCTCATTCCCATGTCCGTTCCTGCGTTTCTTCCTGCTCTCTCGTGCACTTAGAATTTCCAGCTGCCACTAGGTTACTCGGTTGCCGACTTGTTCAGTAGTCGTCGACGTCGACGTCAGTCGGCGACGCATGGCCAGAGGTCGCCCTAGAGCACAACTGCCGCAACCCATTCCACCCCCTGCCGACTCTGTAGACGACGACATTAAAGCACAGTTGGAACGGCTCGAGGTCGAAGCTGAGTTAGACGCACTTGAGCGAGAATTCGAACGTTATATAGAGGAAGACCGCCGCGCTACTCTTCGGTCGTACAACGCACCCGTGAATCAGTACCGTCTCTGGTTTACCGACCTCCGCATCGCAAACGGACGATGGTAGAGCAACATACGCGCTGCCACATGGCCGACGTCGACATGGCTGATGCTAGACCATCCACCGACTACAGTCCGACATCTACCGAGGAAGAGACGCTCCCCTTACTCTACGATCTTGACAAGCTGACGCAGATTCCGGAAGGGGAGTTCACCAAGGACATTCCCCCACCGCCGGTCGGGGAGTTCAACAAGAAAAAGAAACAGAATCCGAAGCGAAATGGACGGCCAGGAACTTCGTCGGCACCGGCCGGCTCTGGAAACCAGGTTGAGGTCGAGGAGGAGGATGGGGGGGAGGAGGAGGAAGAGGAAAGCGATGACGAATACGACAAGCGTCCGCCGCGTAGCACTAGTCAGCGCACCTTGGAAGAACGGTTCAGGCGGGAACTTGAATACATAGATGATCTGCTCGAACAGGACGAGGATACCGACGAGGAGAACTTGTCGGTGCCGCGCGAACAGTGGAGGGCGGCAGACTTCGTCGAGGAAGACATGGTGTACGCGACCATCGACGTGCTCGTCTTGGACGCCCTATGCCACCTGCAGACCGTGGAGAGGAACAGCACGCTAAGGCAGTACACCTCGTGGATCTACCACTACAAGAGGTGGGCGGCGAAGATGTTGATGCAAATTCGCAACAAGCTTCCGCAGGAGTACAGGCTTAAGCGTGTCGACGAGACAGGGCACTACATCCGGGACAACAAGAAGAAGAATTGGGACCAAGAGGCTGATGTCCCCCGGTCGCACGTGTGGCTGCACGGCCCTAGGGTCACCCCGTCCCGGCTTCGCGCATACGTGAAGTACATGGTTCGGGAGATGAAGCTCGATGCCGAGTCCAGCAAGGAGGGCGACAACGCCACAGGAACACAGCCGGTGCAATCTACAACGGTGCACACGCTCCTCGGGCGCATAAAGGCATGCCAGATGACGGCGAGAGTGGAGGCGACGATATGCCGGGAGAAGGAGCTGAGCATCATGCGTGAGATATCGGTGGTCAGGTCAGAGGTGCGGTTCATGTTCCGCACCAAGAACGAGCGGGACCTCAAGTGAGTTTTTGTTTGACCTCTGTCGACCACTCTCTTGTTGTCATGTACTGTGTCGACGTCTCCCTAAATGCCCCTTACCCTCGGCATTATCGGCAGGAACTGCACCGATCAGCGTCGCGGAACCATTGGCGATACCTACACCGCAGAATAGTTCCGCCAGATCATGTTCAGGGTGCTGCCGACGTGGGCGGCCAAGGCTTGGAACCCGCGGGCTTCGGGCCCGTCGCAGACGCTGTGGCGGTTTCTGCTGTTGAAGGTGCTCACGCTACTCTCCCACCATTCTCTCCTGTGCGGCGCAAGCATCCGCGAGATCACGCTCCCCGACATATTCTTGTACCGACTGGCGAGCACCTCATCGGTGAACCCGGAGAACCAGCCGGTCGTCATGGACATCGCTGCGCGGAACTCGAAGACGTCCAAGGATGCGCGTTTGCAGCAGAGCTACGCTGCGCGGCACCTCGAAGCGGAGCTGTGCGCCGTCGACGAGACGGGCCTGTGGTTGCACTTCATCCTCGACCAGGTCGGCCAGTTTCACAGCGTCCGCCTCATTCCGTCGGTGGACACCAGCACACGCGCGAGCTGGTACAAGAAGCACCTCTTCTTCGCCAGAAACGACACCGACCAAGGGGAGCTCTCTGCGGCAAGCCACCAACGCTGGACGAGGCAGTTGTGGGACAAAAACGGGGTCTTCTGCAAGAGGAACGTGCACGCCGCTCGAGCCGGAGGGGCCCAGGAGCTGGCCATCGACGGCACGCCGCACGCCGAGATCGCGGAGCTGGGACACTGGGCGCTCGACAAGATGACGCGAGCGTACATCACCGCCATTCCGGTGGGGGTGGTGATGAAGAAGGCCGGTTACTCTGGTTACAAGCAGGACTACTTCTTGGGCCGGAGCAGGGTGGAGCCCTCCGATAAGCTCTTGAAGCTCCTCGCCGAGTACATCTTCCCCGGCGTCGACGACATGCTGAAGACGGTATGTTAGTCGACGCCCTCGTATCCTTGTTTCTGAGTCGTGTTGCCGACAGCGTCTGAACTCCTAATACACGTGACGAATTGCAGGCGGAAGGGAAGGCTGCCGAGGGGTCCGACGCCGACAAAGCCGCGGTGCACTTCTGGCGCACACTCGCGATGCTGCGCTGCATCGTCGCCGAGGACCTAGCGGTGAAGCTGGTCCGCACACCATGGCACCCGTACGTCCAAGGCTCCCTGCTCTGCCGGATCCCCCTCTTCCAGCACTGGGCGAAACGGGTCGAGAGGGTCGACACCGAGACGATCAACAAGCGTCGGGACCCGACCCAAATTCAGGCAGAGGTAAGTCGACGACGAGCTGGATGTAGGGCATTCCAAACCACCTCGCGGCTAACGTCTTTGTCCTACCGCTGCAGGAAATCTCTGTCCCCATGGACACCGAGTACTACAACATATCCCTCAAGGCGACGCTGACGAAGGAGATCGAGCGCGCCGCGAACGAGAAGATTGACTTCCTGGAGGAGCTCGAGAAGCGCGACGACACCATCGCGTCTCTCACCGCCGAGATAACCCGTCTCACCGAGGCACTCCGTGTGTCAGAAGCACGGAGAGTGCCGGAGGCCCCGCCGTGCGCTACCGCGCAATCTCCCAGCGAGGGTGGCTCGGCGGATTCGGCCAACATGGGAGCCGACGCCGACGGAGGGGACGACAAACCCCCGCCACCCCCACAGACTGACGAGGAGGCTAGTTACGAGGCTCAACGTGGTACAACCGTGGCGGGAGGCCAAGACCGTGAGGGACGCCTGGCGCCTCTGGAACTCCGCCACCGCTAATGACACCTGTCGGCTTTGCGACAGGATCACCGAGCCGGTTCATCGACCGCCACACCCTCCTCGCCGGCGCGACGCAGGGTGCACTCAACAAGAGGGTGCGCCACATGCTGAAGGTCATGGATGCGGTGCGCCAGCTACGCGCGAGCGACGACGAAGCCGACACCGAGGCCGTGGTCGACACACTGCACAGGATCGCGGCATCGGGCATCGGGACCTTCGCCGATGCCCTCACGGTGCTCAAACCAGGGACGGCACCGATGTTGTCCAAAGAGGCTGGCATGGGAGTCAAGGGGCTGGGTCCCAAGGTGGTCTCGAAGCTGCGCCTCGCGTGTGCGCTTGTGGCGCTCAACCTGAAGCAGAGTGATTGGGTCGAAACCCTGTTTCCAGACACGTGGGAGGAGCAGATGCCGAAGACCAAGGCCGACCTGGCGAAGCCGACGGCACCGGCCAAGTCGACAGCACCGGCCAAATCGACCGCTCCGGTGCACCGTCCTCCGACCAAGAGGAAGAAGTCGGCATGAGCGCGCTTGTAGGATATGCGTGTGCGTAGTTCGATGCTGTTAACTGTGGCAGACTTTAAACCCCCCTCCCCCCACCCCCCCCCCCCCCCCCCCCCCCCCCCCCCCCCCTCTCTTTTTTCAAATGCTGCTCTGGTAGTTTGTAACAACCCACAGCAAGGCCTTTGCGAACCTACTTGATCCCGACGTGTTAAATGTAGTCGGTCGCTCATTACTAATCAAAACACAGATACATGATGTCGTCTCGCAGGTTTGCATGTTGCTAGGCTGTCGACATGTACCTAGTCATAGCTCGTCGCCGAGTAGCATGTTCTTATTGATGTCGACAGATGCGCCGACATGGCTCATCGTTCAAAGACGGCTAGCAAGTTTCAATGTGAACAGTAGGGTTTAGGGTCATCACAAAGTGAAGCAAACATAAACGAAGAAGATTCGTGCCCTACGATTGTGGTCGACTACGTGCGCCGACTTCGCATTGTGGTCGACATGGTTCATCGCCAAGGTCGACAACGCCGACTGCACAACCAAAAATTCACTTACACTACCAGAGAGTCACAAGCACTCCCACAAGGTCACATGCAAACCAAAAAGTTACATGCACTCCCGTAGCTACAAATCCTAAACCAGAATACAACCTAGCAATCAAATGCGCTCCCTCTGCGCGCCGACTACGCATCCGTGTTGTCCTTGACCTTCCTGCCCTTCTTCCCCTTCGTCTTCTCCGTGCTGTCCTTGCCGTGCTTGCCCCTCTGCCCCTTCTTTCCCCTCTCTTTAAAATCGTGCTCCATCTGCGCGTCACAAGGCACAGCGATGCCGATCTCCTCGAGTTTCGGCCCGGCGACGGGGCACATTCCCCAAAAAGCCATGGTCTCCACCATGGCTCTAGCGACCACGACGGCTTCATGTTCTGCATCCCTCCCCGGATAGAGCTTTTGCAGAGCGGCACTCTGCAGCGCCGGCGCGACGTTGTGCGCGACCTCCCCGAGGGGTTGCTCCCTCTCAATCTCAGCCTGAATCACCGCCTTCATGACTTTTTTGAAGACGTCTGCGGTCGTCTCGCTCGCACCGACCACCATCGCCGCCGCCATCCCCTCTCTCACAGCATCGTCCACGGAGGCGTCATCGTTCTCGACTAAGCACCACAAGGCGGAAGCCGATGCCGCCCATGCCTGTGCCACCAACTCCGCCTTCTCCACGACGCTCGCAGCGACCTTCCCATACGCCGCGCACATGGACACGCGACTAATCAGGGCCGACATCGCAGCATCCGCCTTCTCTTGGCCTTCCTTCGTGTCGGCATCGACGGGGAACCAGATCGCCGGCAAGAGCGCGTCGTGGTGCGCATCGCCTGAGCTCTTGTACGCTCGATACTTGTCGAGGATGTCGTCGAACCTGTCACGCAAACACATGAAACGGTTCTACCGTTAGGGACTACGACATCGTCAACAGCACTCGACCTTAGGGACGCCGACTTACCGTGTTCGTGGAAGGTACGCGCCCCGTGCCCATATCACCGTCCACATCCCTGTCGGCAAGATCCTGACCTCCTCCCACACCCTCCTCCACTCCTCCATCTCGGCGTCCTTCAAGCCGGCGAGTTCGTCCAAGAGGACCTTGCTGACGTAACCGTCGTAGACCATGAACGCGATCGAGTGCAGGTACGCCAGCTCCATCTTGACGCGTGACTTGCCGATGTACCGATTGTGATTGAGCACTTTAATCTCCCCCACCCACCCTAACCCGTCGCCCGTGCTGTCCTGGCGGATGCCATGACCCTTCCGGCCCTTCTCCTTCGCCTCCGCCTCCTTCTCCGCCTGCTCCTTCTTCTTCTCCTTCTCCTTCCCCTTTTTCACCGGCCTACCCTCGCCGACCGCGGCCTCTCCTTCCCTTGCTTCGCCGACGTGCCCTCGCCGACCGACTTCTCTTCCTGATTCTGCTCCGCAGCTGAGTTTGACCGTGTGATCCTCTTCAAGATCGCCCTCCCTGTCCCTGTGTCGGGCTTCCCATTCCGCTTCGCCTTTCCGTCGCCGACAGTCCCACTGGACGTCTTTGGCACCGCTGAACCACCAGGGGGACACGCCGCGGTCCCGACATGCGCCGTGTCTGCGATGGCCAGCGCCGGGGGGGGGGGGGGGGGGGGGGGGCGGGGCGATGTAGCGCTTCCAGCAGGTTATGGATGGCGGCGATGTCGGCGTCGTTGTGGCCTTTCGCCGCCTGTGCAGGGTCACCGCCTCCGCCACCGGTGGCTAGCGCTGCACTCACGCCCTTCTCCGCCGCCGCATCGACAACAGCTGCGCCGGGAGTGGGATCAGCCACGCCTGTCGACGTCTGCTTCGCGCCTGAGCCGGCTGCCGGCCGAGTACGTGTTGGTGCAGCCGCACTACGCTCGCCTAACCGGGCGCGAAGCAATGCGGACTTTGGGTCCGCGGGAGGACGGGCGGCGACATGAGGCGTGGTAGGTGGGGCGTTGGACGCAGCGGCGGCGACTTGCGGAGCAACCGAGGGACGCGCTGTTTCGAGAGGGGCGGCATCGACCGATGGAGGCTGCTGCACGTCCTTGCGATGGGTCTCCATGCGGTGGAGCAGTTCCCTGAGCGCATCCGGCTTTCTGGCGGCCGAAGCATCGCGGTTAGCCGCAGCGCCCTTCGCGTCGCCCGTGGCGGCAGTCCGGACTGCTGGAGCAGGAGTCGGCGCAATCTCCGGCCCAACTTTGTTGTCGTCCGACTGGCCGACCGGCGCCCTGCTGACCCCAGGGGGGTCAATGGGAGTCGACGTCGTCCCCGCCACCCCAGCTGACGGACCCTTGACGGCTCCGGAGCCGCCATCTCCCGCCGCGTGAGGTGTGGGGGTCTCCTGGTCGGGGACCAAGGGCGGGGCTGTTGGTACAGCGTTTGGAGCGGCGACCCCGTCGGCAGGGCCCCCATCTGCATTGCAGATCCCATCGCCCTTGCGGTGCAACCTTATCACCTCTGCCCCTTTTTTCTTGAGCTGGTCAACCACGCTCTGACCTTGAATCCGCAAGCCGCCAGGACCCACCGCGCCGACGTCGCGGCTCCCATCTCCCCCCTTGCTCCGCTTAGTACTTGCTGAATCGCCCCCGTCTCCCCCTCCGCCTCCGGCACCCCTCTTCCGACCATGTTTCTGAGCATCCTGTCGTTGCGCCTGGCCAGCGTCGTTGGCCGACGGCGACGACTCGCGTCGACCGGGCGCCGCATTTCCGATCATCTCGGTCAATGCCTTCATCCCGGACGCAACAAACGACTGTTGTGTCACCTCCGTCACCGCTTTCAGCACGTCGGCCTTGAACGACAGAAGGAACTCTTCCGGTATGGCTTGAGTTGGGGCGGGAGGAGGAGGTGGCGGCGTTGGCAGGACGATGGGGCGAGAAACCGCGGCGGCAATGTTGGTTTGTGCGGCGCCGATGTAGCTGATGATGGTCTCCTCCAGGCCTTTCCAAACTGCAGTCTAGTGGTCGACAACACAATTTACCGCTGGTGCGCGTTCGACTGCCATGGTTCCTTGGGGACCACTGATTTCATTCAGCCAGTCCACCACAAATCGCGACACCGACTTCGTAGCGTCGATGGCGTCCGCGATGTTGTCGGTGATCTCGTCGGCGATAGTGGTCGACATGGCCGAAGTGGCGTCTTCGATACGTTTTGCCGCTTTCTGGTCGGTGGCGGCGACCTGTGCGGTCAACGCCGTGAGCTTGTCGAGGAGTCCAGCTACCGCCTTCGCCAAGATGTCGACCCGTCCCGTCTGGTCATTGAGCGACTCCTGCAGGCGTGCGTTGTCGGCCCGCAACCTCGTGTTCTCCGCTCGCAACAGCTCGACTACGTCCACCGGTGCCTGCCGACCGGACCCCGCGGGACCGGGGTGACCACGCGCCGCCTTCTTCTTCCTTGACCACCCCCCCACCGCCTTGGCCTCGGTAGGCCCATCCATTCCCGTCCGCGTCGTTGCCGGCGCGGTATCCCCGCCTACACCGGCCATGACGCCAGCCACATCGCCGACCACGAACTTCTCGCTCCACCCGGGTGCCGCCCCCACGCAGGCGTCGTCGGCCGCATACTCATCCGCCGTCCTCCCACCCGTTTTCTCCGCTCCGTCGTTGCACTCCACCACCTCTTCCATTTTCTCTAGCTCGACCACTTCCTCTTCCTCCCCCTCTTGCTGCTTCTCCGCCTCCCCGACAACCGCCGCCTCCTCCTCATCTTCCTCCTCGTCGTCGTCGTCATCGTCGTCGTCCTCCTCTTCCTCTTCCTCCTTTTCCTCCTCCTCCTCCTCTTCCTCTTCCTCATATTCCTGACCCTCGTCATCCGCCTCCTCTTCCCGATCCCCGTTGTCGTCCTGGTGCTCCGCTGCGGTCCCAGTCACCGCCCTTCCTGCCCCCTCATCCATCCTGTCGACGTCGGCTCCTGGCTCTCCTTGTGGAGTCCCCCGCGCGTCGTCGTCGGTGTGGGCGACACCTACAGCTTGGGATGCCGAAAGGGGATCGTCGCCGTCGTCGTCACAGTCGTCGGCCGCAATACCGACATGGCCCGCCCGTTTCCTGTCGACTTCCCCCTTGACGAACGTTATCATCTCATTCCGCAGCGCCTTCAACCCCGTAACGTTGACCTTGTCCATGCTGGTCTCACGGCGACGGAGGTCGCCGGTCAGACGTTCCAGCCTCCGCATCACCCAGTACAATCCGCTCATTGCTAGCAGGCTGGAGCCCGCGTGCTCGTCCCGGACGACGTCGGGCACTTTCTGCATACAACAAAGCAGAGAGAACGTGTGAGCTCCGCGTTAGGCAATTCAGTGTGCCAGGGTTTGGGGTTAAACTGAAGGACACCCTGTCGATCATAACTCACATCTCGAAGGGGTGAATCGCAGTCGGCGAGCCTGTCGATGACCTCTTCGTCGGCAGGCTTCGCCCACTCCCACTTCCTACCATCGCGGCCCATCTCTGCCAGGACCGCCGCCCGAAAAAACTTGCAGAAACATGGCACAGATAGTCGGTAAGCAATGCATGACGAAAACGAAATGGCCGGCGTCGTCGACTACTCTATCGAGCTTACTTCATCACACGGAATCGACTCGTCGCGGTGCCACATCTTCGCTGTATGTGGGTCGACGTGTCGGATCGAGGTCCTGATCTTCTCCCCCCCGGCCCTCAACAAATCGCCGGGGTATATGATGACAACGACGCTGCAATGAGATCCTGGCAGCGGCGCGATGCTGCACGGGCAAGGCACGACGACGCCGATCAGAACAACTAACATACATGCTACGCACCGCATTACGACTCGTTAAACAAGCTCACCCGGGATGCAGTGGGATAACCGCTACGTCGGCGTCGAAAACCGTCGCGAAGCATGTGTGGTCGTCCCGACCCATCGCCGCCCGAAGCCGACCGATTCCTATCGACCACAATCGCATCTTGCCCAACGTCGCGATATTCCATGATCGCCTGCACGCACAGATGGGTATTAGTGGTGAGTTGGGCGGTAAAAGGAATAAGCCAGCGGCGATAAAATGACGGTGAACCCCCCTAACGCCGTGGTAGTCAATGTAGACTAGCGATGCGGGCATACCGACACGGACGTGTCGGTGTAATCGAGGATCAAGATCGAGATATCACTGGCACCTTAAGTCGGCGTCTACGGTGCGTCGACCATCTAGGTATTGTAAGCAAGGGCGACCAAAGACGGATAGGTCGACACCGACATCCACCCTATACGGAGACTCACTTAAGGCCGAATCCCAAGCAACGTGCGGTGAATTCTAGCCTATGGTCTGCGAGGACGGCGAAGTCGTGTTCAAAAAGTTTGGAAGTGAGCCCACTACCCAGGTCGAGACACAGCGGAAAGTCCTGCGAAGTCGGCGCCGCTTCGGCCGCCATGGCGAGGTGGGGAGGTGACTAGAGGCTAAGGGAGGAGACTGTGGGAGTAAGGTGCAGAGATGGGCAATCTTGTAAAACGAGAAACGAAAAGACGAAAATGAGGAGCGATGCCTCCTTCCACAAAGAAAAGGGAGTCGGTGGTGCCCCACATGGAGGTTGAGGCATCGCCCAGGGCTCGTGGTGCCTGGCTCGGCAGGGTTTGGCGGGCTCGTGCACAAGTGGCACAATTTCTCGTTCGCCGCCGAGCCAGCAAGTCGATGTCACGTCCCCTGGCCTCGGTCGGCCATGGGACGCAATTTCGCATGCGCCGCGAAGCGATTGGAATCGATTTCGCTACGCCCGAAATACCGCATGCGCCCGATGCGAAACGGCGGGCGAACACGTGCCGTCACCGCACCGGGTCGCGAAGTTGTCGAGTGTCCCGAGGGGGGGCCCGAATTTTCGCCAGGCCCTCGCCTGCCCGTCCGGGCAGGCCGCGATGGGTTACTAGGACGTCGCGGGCAGGTGGCACGGTTGGGCTGCCTCCGCGCGAGGGTTACTTTCCCTCGCGCGAGGGGTCGCCAATTCGCCGACCCCACCCGGTAACGTGGGCCGATGTTCACTCTCGGAGCGGGGCTGCGGGGCGGCGGTCGTGCGCTCGGCCCAGCCCTGGGCCAGGCTGGCGGGCCCGCACGCACGTCAGTCGCCCGCCTCGTCATTCTCGGCTCCGACGACCCCCCTCGACGACAGAGGCAAATCCGTCCCGACGACCGAGTTCCGATGAGGCTTTCGGGAAAGGGTGGCACACTTGAGTGTCCAGCCAGACCGCACTTCCGGTTTACATGCTTGTCGTGGTCTCGACATGTTCAGTTTGTCCTCGTCATGGGTTTGTGCTGCGATCCGACTAACACCGGCAGGCGACTCTTTCTCACACCATAACTCCTAGTTAAACCAGTCACCTCTTTGCACCTCTTCGCTACCTTCACCACCATCCATATATCATGCATACAAATATCAAGCTTTAAACATGTGTCTGCCAATTACCAATCCACTAAGTACCTGCATATTTGGAATGTGCTTGTTATGATCACACATGGGTCAAATTCATGTGTAACGACACCATATGTACTTAACATTATATAACCACCACAATATATACAATTTAATACAATATGATGTAGAGCCATATTATATATCCTCACCTACATCTGTGTTTTTTCCCCATATGGACCCAAGTGCAGAGGGCAGCTTTGTCTGTTTCACATGGAACGCTCCAATCTGCAGAGTGGGATATGATAGAGTGGGTATATACAGACTCGTAGAATATAGGCCAGCCATGGTTCCCCTCTGCAACCGTTAAAACGATTAGCACGTCCTCTTGAAGGTCAAGCTCTCTGCACACAGCTGACTCAAACGCAAGGAGGACATAGGCCGGAAATTAACATAGATAAACAAGTCAAATTTGCAGCAGGACGTACGGAAACAACATACTTGCATAAATAAGCACGCTGCGCAGTAGGGTAAACAAGTGAACCACCAGCAGCAGAGTTGGGTAAAGAAAGGTGTACGAGGATTCGTGGCATACATGGGAAGGCCTGGTGTAGGAGCGTGGCGATGTGCGGGGTCTCACACCAGATGTGAAGGATAGCGCGAGAGAAGCAGTGCATGGGCGATACGCCTGACCATGCCACCATCTAGAAGTAGATCCATGCAGCATGGCAGCGGGGAAAGTGTGCAAGGGAAACAAAATCACAGAAGAGAGAGGAAAGGTTGCAGAGGAGAGATCTCATGCATGTTGCAAGCACACGTGTCATGGGAGAACAGCTGCAGAACTTACCAGCCCATGCAGCTTCTTTCTGAGAAGGGCCTTTGCGTGGTCGTAGTCGAATCGACCAGGGTCGGGGTACATCATGGCTCGAGTGACCGACACTCCAAAGCGCTGCCCAAACAAGCTGCAGATGTAATCCACCTTCTTCCAGTTGCTGTCGCAGTACTGTACCTGAGATATCGAGAGCAAAGACTGCCATAATGTGCGTGGGACAGAATCTAGGGAACGAGGTGTATGACGTATGGATTCTGTCCTAGCATGTAACTTGATTTCTTCAATTTTCAAAGTTTCACGAATATCGTTCCCAACCCAATTTCATAATTCCACGTACCTCCATCTCTGAAATTATGTCAGATGCACCGAAATGGCGCACAAAGTACTCCACTGAAAGGGACTGGGAAGTGGGGTGGTGTGAGATAATTTATTGCACCAAAATATGTTCTATCTAGGACTAACAAACGTACGAAGCATTCTGGTTTTGCCAAATGGTATGTTCAAAGAGAGACGTGATTCAAGAAGCAAAAATCAAGGTATTTCCTCACCTCGGAAATGACGGACGCGCCTCCAGCATTTGGGGAGGAAGCAACCCTGACAGCGTCTTCCGAAAGAGTGAAGTCGACAAACGGGGCCCGCGCTTCGAACTCACTCAGGAAAACCGCCTCTGCCTGTACACTCCCTTCGCCTAGTCTAATCTCGTCTACAATCTCTTTATATACGCGACCATCCTGTACAGTCACTTTCCCACCCCCTTCCCACTCTCTGTCCCCCACTCCTTTACCCCTCTGTTCTGTTTGTTCCAATTCTGCTAGCTCAGACGCAGACACACAAGCGCTATCGGCTCCACAAGTTCCGTTAAGCCCATGGGAAAGACGTTCGACAGGGTAGGACGGCGACAAGGTTTCGTCCGAGCAGTGAATGAAGGGAAAAGCGGTCGACAGGCTGGAGTGATCGTCTCGACTACTCGCGGACGAACTCGGGCTTCTTGCTGTCGAAACAGGGCTTATGATAAACTCGTTCTCCTTTGAACGACGATCTACGTCTGCTGACGCGCCTACGTTTCTGAAGCTTCCGAGAAAAAACTGAGGGTTTGTAGCTTGAACGTCCTTGGTTCGAGAACAATCTAGCTTTGCGCTTTGCAGCGCCGCCGTATCCCCACAGTCGGGACTGAAAAGCAAGTCCATGCAGAAGCTATCGTCGATAAGTGCCCAATCCGCATCGCGCGGAGACGAAGTGGATGAAAGCGGACTCGCACCTGACGGTTCGGATGCGAAAGAGGAGGCGGAGGCGGGGGAAGAAATAGTAGAAGTAGATGAAGGGTCATCGTCAATTCCCGTCAATAAATCGTCTGTCATCCAGCTATTGCTCACATGTCGTTCCCCCGCAACCAGCGCACCCGCCGCCCCCTCGCGCTGAAGCGCCTCTCTAAGAGTCACTCGGCACGAAGGGGAACGCGGCGACAGAGTTCGCACGACGAAATCGTGCGACGGCGTGCCGAACTCCGCTGCGAAAGGAGCCATTCCCGCCGCTGCCGCCGTTCCACCTGTACTGGTGCGATGCGGGTGGTCCCGCCCAGGCCGGTCAGCACGGTTCGGAGCCGCGGCGACCGGAGGTTGGAACTTCCAAACAGAACCGACAGGAGCGAAAAATCCGACAGAGCCGACACGGGATTGGCAGGAATGTCTGGGCAGCACGGATGGCACGCTTGGAGCGTTGCGTGCTCGGACAGGATGATGTGCAGCTAGGTAGTGCTGGTGAGGTGTGAGAGAACGAGCCATCATCGAGTGACTGAGCTACGGCCATGGACCCTCCGGGTGAAACGCTATTGTATTAGCTTGCGACTACAGCGGGGACAACGGGATGCCGCTTGAGTCGACTCAAAAGTCATCGCTACCAAACTCGTTTTGCGACTACTAACGCTATTTCCCTCAACTACTGAAGGTCCCTGCTGTTGTGAACGCCGTCCTTAGTGTGTGGTGGATTTCTGTGTTGGCATGCAAGCCACCTGAATTGAAATGATGAGCGCGTCGGGAATCAACGGCGTGGGTGATAGGAAAAGTCGAAAGTGGTGGGTTTGCTGTTCAGTTTCGCATTCTCGGCTTGCCCCAAATCCCAGATTCAACTCTAGCTGATCGGGAAGGGTTTCACATGAATATGTACGTTACAGAACGTTTTACCACGGCGAAATGCGTTAACACGGTGCTCACGTACGTGCACCTCGACGTGCATCTGGGGCTGGAGCATCTGCTGAAGGGAATCAACTCCGTAGCGGGGTCTGAAATTGACGCGCGGCGATAGGGAATAAATTAGCAAAGCGCGCCGGAGAATTGTGCCCTGATTGGCGAAGCTTTTGCAAGGTGACTGGGCTACTGATGGCGAACGGCATGGCAATTGGTCAATGTGATGCTGACTGTGTAAGAGGAACCATCAGGTGCAGTCGAATACACGTGGAATAGTGTCTCTTTGAGCAAGCACGACAGAAGACTCAATACTGCATGATGCAATGTGCGTGCACTTAACGCCATGGAAAGCCCACACTTTGGAAACAATAATATGCAAAATATCATAGGAGTTCTTGCACACCTCGCTGCACAGACATCCAGATAGTGTTAGATTACAGAAATATATACACTCTATCTACACAGCCCTGACACAAGTCTTCATATTTATTCCAAACCAAGGATGATGTGCATGGTGCGCCCATAATCCCCTTTCCCCGTCATCATTTGACCTTTCAGATACCTTATACAAGGACTCATAGAAGATAGGCCAGCCTTGATGGCCTTCGGCAACAGTCAGTACCATCAGCACGTCTTCTTGCATATCCAAGGAGCTTGAAACCTCTGCAAATATCAAGTTTGACAGAGAAAGGCACGATGAGGGAAAGCTCAACAATGAAAAGGACAAATCGAAAGCTTCGTGGTTCTTGCCTGGAAATGCGTCTTGCAGAAGGTTGGCTATATGTGAGGTTTCACACCATACGTGGAGAATGGCTCGAGAGAAGCAGTGCATGGGAGAGATGCCCGACCATGCCACCACCTGCACACCTCACAACCGGCACAAATGCATCAGCTGCAAGAGACGACGAGTACACGCAAAAGTTGCAGACAAGGTGCCAACAAATAGAGAAAATGATAATTTAACAAAGACGAGCCTTATCACTTATCACTTACCAGCCCGTGCAGCTTCTTCCTGAGCAGGGCACGAGCACGGTGGCTGTCGAAGAGAGCAGGGTCCGGGTACATCATGGCTCGAGTGACCGACACTCCAAAGCGCTGCCCAAACAAGCTGCAGATGTAATCCACCTTCTTCCAGTTGCTGTCGCAGTACTTGATCTGATATGAGATTGAAATAGCAGATGCCTCGCATCGGTTTTAGAAGCGAGACAGAGAGGGAAAAGAAGGAGCAGGTGCACAGAACATATGTTTCTTACCTCCATCTCTGAAATAATGTCAGTTGCACCAAAATGACGCACGAAATACTCCACAGAAAGCGACTGCAGAGGAGGTGAATAGGCGGGGAAGGGTAATACTGTTACTCACAGGAGAACAACAACTGAAAGAGCCAGTGATGCACATACGATTGCATCGAAGGACTCACCTCGGAAATGACGGAAGCGCCTCCCGCATTGGGCGAGGCGGCGACCCGGGCGGCATGTTCCGATAGAGAGAAGTGCAGGAAAGGCGCCCGGGCCTCAAACTCGGACACAAACACACGCACAGCATAGCACCCTTCGGGTCGCTCTTGTCTGTGCGTGTCAGAAGTGCAGCCATCCTGCTGTCCCCGCTGTTCTAGCTGCTCCAACTGCTCAGCCCCAGCTGCTTCAGCCACAATCACACCCTGATTAACACCTTCGCCTGGATTCTCCAGTTGAGATTCCTTGTTCAAAGTTAAGTCGGAGTATTCTTCTTCTGGTGAAGCCAGCCCAGGTTGGGCGCAGGTTGATCCTGGCCCCACGTTGTCGCCGATGTTGGTGTCCAGGTGCCCGAAGAGCCACCATAATCCGAGAGAATCAACGGCCAGGATCCAATCCTCTTCTTCTCCTGCATCATCCGCCGTAACCGCCGCCCAGAACTCTCTGCTGCAGGCCTCGTCCACGTCAGCGCAGTCCTCCGCTTGCCACGTGTGCAGGGAGGCTACAGCCGTGGCAGCAGCGTCTGTAGCGCGCCTGAGCGCCTCCCAGAGGGCGACGCCAGCGGACGGCGCTACAGCACGAATGATGAAGTCAGCATGTGACACCACTGCGGCTGTAGCATGAGGTGCGGCTGTAGCAGCAGTGGCGGCTGTAGCAAGAGGGGCGGATGTAGCGCCTGCATCGGTTGTAGCAGCAGAGGCCGCGGGAGCAGCAGAGGCGGATGTAACGTCTGCTTCCCTTGTGCATGAGGAGGTTGTCACACCTGTAGCGCGCGAGTTGGATGGGGAAGTAGCTTCTCCTTGGAGATTGCCGCGAAGGGGAGACGCTACAGCCGGCGCTACAGCCGCTACAGCAGGGACGTCGGCTTGAACACCCGCTCCAGATGCCGTTTGGTTCTCCTCCACTTCTAGGATTTGATGCGGGATATGATTCTCCACCAGCTGGATCGGATTCCGAGGCTGGGCCGCCCCCCAGATCGTCGGACGCACCGCTCGGCTCCACGTCGGCCCCGTCGATACTGCCGAAGCCGCCGCTTCCATCACACTCGATATTGTCACATCCAGAGTTGACTGAATGAGCGCTTCCCTCCCCTCCGCCGCTGATTCCGCCGTTTCCGCCGCGTACCTTGCGTGAATCGTGATGCATCGGGAGTTTGGATTCACCGGGGCCGCCACTAACCCGCTTCTTCCGCCGCCATTCGCGCCGCGTCTGCCGCTCCGCCCCGCCTCCCCTGGGGATTGTGGAGGATCCAGTCTGGACGGCGACTGCGGCGCTTCGTATCCGTCTCACGCGGCGGAGGGTGCGGGACAATCCAGTGGCGTCGCATGAACGACCGACGCGCTGTTGACGAGCCATGGCTTTCAGCGTTCCGGCGCGAATGCCGTTTTATGACGAGCAAGCAAGAGTGACAATGCTACGCGCGAGAGGTAACTAATAGAGAACTGATGAATAATAAGTCTATGGCAATGCGTATCGTGCTGGCCTTACATGCTGGCAGAGAGTCAACGAGTGACACACTGATGCTTCACTTCCCACGAGTTAGTGGGCTCTTATACTCCTTCTGACGCGCCGCTCCTGCTACTCTGCTGCTTCTCCAACCATAAGAAAATTAGTCCGAAAATCGTTCAGCGGTGCCCCAACATTCTCGCTGTGCGACATTTTGTACGAAAGTTACCGTTTCGCGAACTTCATCTGCTGTTCGCCTAATGGCTTAGATGAGTTACTTCTTCGTCTGCAATTTCGAGAATGCGTCTGGCAGATGTTTGACGTGGATGTTGTCGCATTGACTCAGCATGGACCAAGTGGACTCGCTTGGTGGGTGGCTTGGGTTACACGCGAAAACGAAGATATGTAATTGGTCGCAGTCGTTTCGGGGTTTACGCAAGCAGGGTTTCCCGGGTGTTCTCCGTTGTAATATTTCTCGGCACTAGACATTGTGCTGTTTGAGTTATAGATATACAGATTCAGTCGAATGATTTTGAAAAGTGTATCATCGTGTTACACACCCACCCGCGTGTTGTCACTTGCCGGCTTTGGCGAAAGTGGCGAACAGGTGCACGTCAAGTGCCTGGCGGGTGACTCCACTCCACTCCGCCCAGGGGGCTACTGGTGGGTGGCACAGGCACCACGGTCTTTTCTATTCAGTACATAACAGTAGAGTACATCTCCGTACGGTTCAGAGCGGTATCTGGTCCTCCTGAACAAGCAGAGGTTGTTGTGTTTTGTGCTTCCAGTGTGCTGGTCGTGGCTGATTTGAAGACCACTCCTGCGAAAAATTGCGGGAACGCACTGAACCCCCTAGAACTCTTTTACTAATAGAATAATGGTCTCACAACCTGCCATTTTCCACGCATCACAGAAAGCACGCGATCAGCGAAGCGAGCGCTGCACTAGAGAATGACGACTTATCTCGTTGCTCTCTACTGATTCATGCATTTCATCCCTCCCCTGCGTAGTAATTCCCTTGTCCATTGCGGAAGCGCAAGACTCGTCTGTTTCGTTTCGCACGTCCAGAGCTATCAGCTTTTCCCGCAGCCTGCGTAGCGACAGAAGTCAGGGTGACTCGCTTACACAAACTCCTGTCACCCTGAGCTGGTTAGGCCGAGTTTACCTTCGAAGTGCTCTCTTTTCGTTTGAAAATCCATACTCATACCCCCTATTCCGGTGAAACGCATTCCTGACAGAGCTTGTGGTAGCGTTGCTAAGACCGCTGCACTTCCCTACCATTATTATCAATGGCCCTCTCGTTATTATCACAACCTTCAGGAGGCGAGGTTGAGTGATTAAGAATCGTAGCTTGTGAGTTCTCTTAGGGATTTCTCGAACGTGACTGCTTTCGTATATGTGACATCATAGGCCCGCATCATCGTGGGCTAAGCGAAAGCGCTACGGCTCGACGACTTAGGTAACTTGTTCCGCATTCTAATCGGTTCGCCCGCTGATTGGTTCGCATCATAATGAGTCCCCTACGACACCACAGAGCTGTCTTTCAACGCCGACCAATGCCGCGTCTTCAAATGCCGTGTCATAGGCTGCCGTTTCTATGTTAATCTACTAACGAAAGTCCTTCTGACGAGCCAGTCGCATCTCCTATTTGTCAGCAACTCGAACCTTTCCAGCCGTCGTTCTCGTGTCTAGGCTTAGGAGCAGCAGCAGCAGCAGCAGCAGCAGCAGCAGCAGCAGCAGCAGCAGAAGAAGCAGCGGAAGCAAAAGCAGAAGCAGAAGCAGCAGCAGCAGTGACTTGACCTAACAGTGGCTTCTCTAACGGTCATATTGTCCCGGCGCGCACCGGAAAGAGAATGGGCGGGTGCTTATCGGTGGAGGTAATTGCAGAGAGCGCGCCCAGTTCGCCCTTCGGTAACGTCACATCCACCACGCCTAGGTCCCGCGCTCATTCCGTCGCCTCCAGCCCTGGTGGTAACCAGCGTTTCGCGACGGGTTTTTCGCCTCGAACGCCGAGGGAAGCTGGGGATGGGAGCGAGGCGGAGGGTAACGGAGCAGGGGGCAGAGGGGTGGCGGGCGGAGGGGGGAAGTTCAGAAGGGGCGCGGGGAAAGGGAAGAGGGTGGGGAGCGGAGTTGGCGGAGCGAAGGCCGTGTCTAGCGGCGGGGGGAGAGGGGGCGGAGGGGAGGGAGGGGAAGGAGGGTGGGGACGGGGAGCGGAGAGGCAAGGGGGGCCGGTAGGGAGGGGGAATGGGAGAGGGGGAGGAGGGGACGGGTACGGCGGAGGTGGCAACTTGGCAGCACCGCAGAGCGTGCCTGTGGAACAAGCAGCTGGTGTCCCATCAGGTAGGGAGCAAGCAGCTGGTGTCCCATCAGGTAGGGAGCAAGCAGCTGGTGTCCCATCAGGTAGGGAGCAAGCAGCTGGTGTCCCATCAGGTATGTCGGGGGGGAGTAATGGCTGGCGTGTTGTTCCCTCTGGAGTGTGCTTTGCCTTGACTGTAGCACACCAGGGTGCTGCGCAGGCGGTGGCTTGGCAGCACCGCAGAGCGTGCCTCAAAACCTTAGAGACGTCTCAAGAGTCGAGCCCAGGGACGGAGATTCTACTAACCAGTGTGTGCCGTGCTGTGCCCTCACAGTCACAGGGAACCCGAGAATTGAGACGTCTCAAAAGTCGAGCCCAGTGACAAAAAGCGAGTTGACTCAAAAGAGAATTGAGTCGACTCAAAAGAGAATTGAGTCGACTCAAAAGAGAATTGAGACGTCTCAAAAGTCGAGCCCAGGGACAAAAATCTGAACCAATGTGTCTCCTCACCTCACCTCACATTCACGTGGGAACCCGAGATTCGAACAAACCGCCTCAGGTCCCACCTCCACCAATTCTGTCGCCCTTTTTCCCGCCTCTTCCCCCCAACCCTAACCACCTCAGATGCCACCTCCACCAACTCTGCCGTCCTTTTCAGCCGCCCAGTCGATGTCCTTCGAGCGCAGGGACGGAGATTCAAACCATTGTGTGCCCTCACCCTCACAGTCACAGGGAATTCGAGATTTGAGACGTCTCAAAACTCGAGCCCAAGGCCAGAAATTCGAACCAATGTGTGTCCTCACAGTTCGAACCAATGTGTGTCCTCACAGTCCGAACCAATGTGTGTCCTCACAGTCCGAACCAATGTGTGTCCTCACAGTCCGAACCAATGTGTGTCCTCACAGTCCGAACCAATGTGTGTCCTCACAGTCCGAACCAATGTGTGTCCTCACAGTCCGAACCAATGTGTGTCCTCACAGTCCGAACCAATGTGTGTCCTCACAGTCCGAACCAATGTGTGTCCTCACAGTCCGAACCAATGTGTGTCCTCACAGTCCGAACCAATGTGTGTCCTCACAGTCCGAACCAATGTGTGTCCTCACAGTCCGAACCAATGTGTGTCCTCACAGTCCGAACCAATGTGTGTCCTCACAGTCCGAACCAATGTGTGTCCTCACAGTCCGAACCAATGTGTGTCCTCACAGTCCGAACCAATGTGTGTCCTCACAGTCCGAACCAATGTGTGTCCTCACAGTCCGAACCAATGTGTGTCCTCACAGTCCGAACCAATGTGTGTCCTCACAGTCCGGGGGAACCCGAGAGTCGAACAAACTGCCTCAGGTCCCACCCTTTTTCCCGCCTCTTCCCCCCAACCCTAACCACCTCAGATGCCACCTCCACCAACTCTGGCGGCCTTTCCGCCGCCCAATCGACCTCCTCCGATCCCAGGGACGGGCGGGGCACGGCCCGCAAGTTCCGGCTGCACGAGCTGCGGGCGGCGACGTCGTCTTTCAGCAAGAAGGCGGTGCTGGGCCGGGGCAGCTTCGGGGAGGTGTATCTGGGGAAGCTGGGGGGGAAGGAGAGCAAGGAGGTGGTGGAAGTGGCGGTGAAGAAACTGAATCCGGAGAGTTCACAGGGGCTGGATGAATGGCTGGTGAGTCCTCCTGGGTCGTTCGTGTTGCAGGGGCTGGACGAGTGGCTGTAGGGAAGGTGGGCGGGAAGGAGAGCAAGGAGGTGGTGGAAGTGGCGGTTAAGAAACTCAACCCAGAAAGTTCACAGGGGTTTAGGGTGATGAAAGAACAGGGGTTCACAGGGGTTTAGGGTGATGAAAGAACAGGGGTTCACAGGGGTTTAGGGTGATGAAAGAACTGGCGCTGATGAAGGCCTCACAGGCCGAAACGCGTACGCCTACTTAGTACTTTTACTTTGAGACTTATCAAGTCCTCATTCATACCTTTTTTCCTAGTCCTACGAAGCAACCCACCCACACTTAGCTGAAAGTTTCAACGGTGACCACACGGCTTGCTGCGTTTCGAATCCTACATTACTCCGAAGGAGGTGGTGGAAGTGGCGGTTAAGAAACTCAACCCGGAGAGTTCACAGGGGCTGGATGAATGGCTGGCTATGATGCGAAAGACGCGTCCTGCGTCCTGGACGCATGCGTCCAGACGCATGCGTCCGGACGCAGGACGCTTCACCAGGACCAGAAAGACGCACCAAAAGACGCAGTCCCGGGCAGGCAAAAAAAACCCCCCCGGGCAGGCAAAAAAACTTGTTATAGGGCATGGGATGAGGGGGGGGGGGGGGGGAGAACGTTCCACACTTTCAAGGCAAACTTGGCCCCAACATCAAATTTTCCCCCAAATCTCAAGATTAAGGTGAGTCACGTTAGATGACGTAGGGTTGCTTGAGGAAGCCATAATGGAGCTAAGCTATGCTTGTAGGCTAAAACCTCTAGGGTTTTCGAAAGAGAATTGGTTGGGTGGGTGAAATGAGAAATGACTTGGTTGGATTGCTAAATGGGCTTGGTGGTAGGCACCTTGGTTGGGTTTTCTAGATGTGAAGTGGTTGAGAGGTATTTGGAATTCAATTGTTGCATGGGGGGTTATGAAATGTTGGGGGGGGGGGGCTGTTTTTCAATGTCGAATTGGGCAATGGGGGGTCAAAATTTCGCGATTTCGACAGTCGCGTCGAAATCGCGAGATTGAAATTCGTAATCTGGAAAAAAAAAAAAATCGGGGCAGCCCGAAAATTTTTCGATCTGCGTCTCGCGTCTGGACGCGCGTCTTGCGTCCTAGCGTCCAGACGCTGCGTCCAGACGCAGGACGCAGCGTCCTCTGAGCGTCTTTCGCATCATAGATGGCTGGTGAGTGGTGATTGGCAGTGTTTCTTGATGCCTGGATAGCTACAAGCAGGTGTATTTCGAAAAGGTGTATATGGGAGGGTGTATTTGGGGGAGGTGTATCTGGGGAAGCTGGGGGGAAAGGAGAGCAAGGAGGTGGTGGAGGTGGCGGTGAAAAAGCTCAACCCGGAGAGTTCTCAAGCGCTGGATGAATGGCTGGTGTGTGGGATATCGAAATCACTTTTGAGAATTCTCAAAGATGAATGGCTGGTGTGTGGGATATCGAAATCACTTTTGAGAATTCTCAAAGATGAATGGCTGGTGTGTGGGATGGGATGGAATTAGGGGGGGGGCCATGGGGCAATTTTTGAGTCGACTCAAAAGTCACCGAATTAGGGGGCATGGGGCATGGCTGCTTTAGATGGGGAGATGGGGCATGGCTGCTTTGGGGGGCATGGGGCATGGCAGATGTATCTGGGGAAGGAGAGCAAGGAGGTGGTGGATGTTGCGGTGAAAAAACTGAATCCGGAGAGTTCTCAGGGACTGGATGAACGGTTGGTGAGTGGGTATTGTGGGGCATTATGGGGCATGGCATCTGGGGAGGTGCATCTGGGAAGGTGTATCTGGGGAGGTGCATCTGGGAATGTGTATCTGGGGAAGCTGGGCGGGAAGGAGAGCAAGGAGGTGGTGGAAGTGGCGGTGAAGAAGCAGAATTCGGAGAGTTCTCAGGGGCTTGATGAATGGCTGGTGAGTGGGTGGAGAGGTGAGGGGTTGGTGTGAGGGAATTGGGGGGGTTGGTGTGAATTTTAGATTGATATTGCCTGGAGCCTGTTAGGAAAGGAAGCTCTGATGCGATCTCCCATCTCAGCAACAGTCAAGGAAAAGTGAGGCTCATAGCCTCAAGGGCGAGGGACCCCCCCTCCCCCCCTTGAGTGAGCTCTTTCACGAGAAGAGAGGCCAGTGAGGTAGGCCCGTGAGGTAGGCCCGTGAGGTAGGCCCGTGAGGTAGGCCCGTGAGGTAGGCCCGTGAGGTAGGCCCGTGAGGTAGGCCAGTGAGGTAGGCCCGTGAGGTAGGCCCGTGAGGTAGGCCCGTGAGGTAGGCCCGTGAGGTAGGCCCGTGAGGTAGGCCCGTGAGGTAGGCCAGTGAGGTAGGCCCGTGAGGTAGGCCCGTGAGGTAGGCCCGTGAGGTAGGCCCGTGAGGTAGGCCCGTGAGGGAGTGCACACACTCCACACGTGCTCTCTCCTTTGACCCCACTCCTCCCCCACACGCGGAGGTAGTGCTGCTGAGGAAGCTGCACCATCCCAATCTGGTCGAGCTAATAGGCTACTGTGCAGAAAAGGGCGAGGGAGGCTACAGTGACTTCCTGTCGCCTTTCCCTTCCCGACCAACTGTTGTATCCTTTCTTGTCTTACAACCTTCCCCCCTCCCCTTCCTTCCCCCACAGGCGGAGATAGTGCTGCTGAGGAAGCTGCACCATCCCAATCTGGTGGAGCTGATAGGCTACTGTGCAGAAAAGGGCGAGGCGCTGCTCGTGTACGGGCTCTGCCCCAATGGCAGCCTGGACGACCGCCTATTCCCCCGTGAGTGCGCAGCTTCACTAACTGCCTAATGGCTTTGAAGCACTTGCCAGCATTCAGTGTATGTGTACATGCTCTGCGTGTGCACATATCAGAGATGAGTAAGGCCCCTGCTGGTGTACGGGCTCTGCCCCAAATGGCAGCCTGGACGACTGCCTATTCCCCTGCACTGCTGTGTGTGCATGTATCCATGTATCCATGTATCCATGTATCCATGTATCCATGTATCCATGTATCCATGTATCCATGTATCCATGTACACACATGCATACATGTTGCCTGCTGTGCCAAGAAGGGCGAGGCGCTGCTGGTGTACGGGCCGTGCCCCAACGGTGGCTTGGACGACCGGCTGTTTCCACAGGGGGCAGCTTGCAGGGGGCACACATGGATCATGTGGATAGCACAGGGGGCAGCTCGCAGGGGGCACACATGGATCATCTGGATAGCACAGGGGGCAGCTTGCAGGGGGCACACATGGATCATCTGGATAGCACAGGGGGCAGCTTGCAGGGGGCACACATGGATCATCTGGATAGCACAGGGGGCAGCTTGCAGGGGGCACACATGGATCATTTGGATAGCACAGGGGGCAGCTTGCAGGGGGCATACATGGATCATTTGGATAGCACAGGGGGCAGCTTGCAGGGGGCACACATGGATCATCTGGATAGCACAGGGGGCAGCTTGCAGGGGGCACACATGGATCATCTGGATAGCACAGGGGGCAGCTTGCAGGGGGCACACATGGATCATCTGGATAGCACAGGGGGCAGCTTGCAGGGGGCACACATGGATCATCTGGATAGCACAGGGGGCAGCTTGCAGGGGGCACACATGGATCATCTGGATAGCACAGGGGGCAGCTTGCAGGGGGCACACATGGATCATCTGGATAGCACAGGGGGCAGCTTGCAGGGGGCACACATGGATCATCTGGATAGCACAGGGGGCAGCTTGCAGGGGGCACACATGGATCATTTGGATAGCACAGGGGGCAGCTTGCAGGGGGCACACATGGATCATCTGGATAGCACAGGGGGCAGCTTGCAGGGGGCACACATGGATCATTTGGATAGCACAGGGGGCAGCTTGCAGGGGGCACACATGGATCATCTGGATAGCACAGGGGGCAGCTTGCAGGGGGCACACATGGATCATCTGGATAGCACAGGGGGCAGCTTGCAGGGGGCACACATGGATCATCTGGATAGCACAGGGGGCAGCTTGCAGGGGGCACACATGGATCATTTGGATAGCACAGGGGGCAGCTTGCAGGGGGCATACATGGATCATTTGGATAGCACAGGGGGCAGCTTGCAGGGGGCACACATGGATCATCTGGATAGCACAGGGGGCAGCTTGCAGGGGGCACACATGGATCATCTGGATAGCACAGGGGGCAGCTTGCAGGGGGCACACATGGATCATCTGGATAGCACAGGGGGCAGCTTGCAGGGGGCACACATGGATCATGTGAATAGCACAGGGGGCAGCTTGCAGGGGGCACACATGGATCATCTGGATAGCACAGGGGGCAGCTTGCAGGGGGCACACATGGATCATCTGGATAGCACAGGGGGCAGCTTGCAGGGGGCACACATGGATCATCTGGATAGCACAGGGGGCAGCTTGCAGGGGGCACACATGGATCATTTGGATAGCACAGGGGGCAGCTTGCAGGGGGCACACATGGATCATCTGGATAGCACAGGGGGCAGCTTGCAGGGGGCACACATGGATCATTTGGATAGCACAGGGGGCAGCTTGCAGGGGGCACACATGGATCATGTGGATAGCACAGGGGGCAGCTTGCAGGGGGCACACATGGATCATCTGGATAGCACAGGGGGCAGCTTGCAGGGGGCACACATGGATCATCTGGATAGCACAGGGGGCAGCTTGCAGGGGGCACACATGGATCATCTGGATAGCACAGGGGGCAGCTTGCAGGGGGCACACATGGATCATTTGGATAGCACAGGGGGCAGCTTGCAGGGGGCACACATGGATCATCTGGATAGCACAGGGGGCAGCTTGCAGGGGGCACACATGGATCATCTGGATAGCACAGGGGGCAGCTTGCAGGGGGCACACATGGATCATGTGGATAGCACAGGGGGCAGCTTGCAGGGGGCACACATGGATCATGTGGATAGCACAGGGGGCAGCTTGCAGGGGGCACACATGGATCATCTGGATAGCACAGGGGGCAGCTTGCAGGGGGCACACATGGATCATGTGGATAGCACAGGGGGCAGCTTGCAGGGGGCACACATGGATCATCTGGATAGCACAGGGGGCAGCTTGCAGGGGGCACACATGGATCATGTGGATAGCACAGGGGGCAGCTTGCAGGGGGCACACATGGATCATTTGGATAGCACAGGGGGCAGCTTGCAGGGGGCACACATGGATCATCTGGATAGCACAGGGGGCAGCTTGCAGGGGGCACACATGGATCATCTGGATAGCACAGGGGGCAGCTTGCAGGGGGCACACATGGATCATTTGGATAGCACAGGGGGCAGCTTGCAGGGGGCACACATGGATCATGTGGATAGCACAGGGGGCAGCTTGCAGGGGGCACACATGGATCATCTGGATAGCACAGGGGGCAGCTTGCAGGGGGCACACATGGATCATGTGGATAGCACAGGGGGCAGCTTGCAGGGGGCACACATGGATCATGTGGATAGCACAGGGGGCAGCTTGCAGGGGGCACACATGGATCATGTGGATAGCACAGGGGGCAGCTTGCAGGGGGCACACATGGATCATGTGGATAGCACAGGGGGCAGCTTGCAGGGGGCACACATGGATCATCTGGATAGCACAGGGGGCAGCTTGCAGGGGGCACACATGGATCATGTGGATAGCACAGGGGGCAGCTTGCAGGGGGCACACATGGATCATCTGGATAGCACAGGGGGCAGCTTGCAGGGGGCACACATGGATCATGTGGATAGCACAGGGGGCAGCTTGCAGGGGGCACACATGGATCATGTGGATAGCACAGGGGGCAGCTTGCAGGGGGCACACATGGATCATCTGGATAGCACAGGGGGCAGCTTGCAGGGGGCACACATGGATCATGTGGATAGCACAGGGGGCAGCTTGCAGGGGGCACACATGGATCATGTGGATAGCACAGGGGGCAGCTTGCAGGGGGCACACATGGATCATGTGGATAGCACAGGGGGCAGCTTGCAGGGGGCACACATGGATCATGTGGATAGCACAGGGGGCAGCTTGCAGGGGGCACACATGGATCATGTGGATAGCACAGGGGGCAGCTTGCAGGGGGCACACATGGATCATGTGGATAGCACAGGGGGCAGCTTGCAGGGGGCACACATGGATCATGTGGATAGCACAGGGGGCAGCTTGCAGGGGGCACACATGGATCATGTGGATAGCACAGGGGGCAGCTTGCAGGGGGCACACATGGATCATGTGGATAGCACAGGGGGCAGCTTGCAGGGGGCACACATGGATCATGTGGATAGCACAGGGGGCAGCTTGCAGGGGGCACACATGGATCATGTGGATAGCACAGGGGGCAGCTTGCAGGGGGCACACATGGATCATGTGGATAGCACAGGGGGCAGCTTGCAGGGGGCACACATGGATCATGTGGATAGCACAGGGGGCAGCTTGCAGGGGGCACACATGGATCATGTGGATAGCACAGGGGGCAGCTTGCAGGGGGCACACATGGATCATGTGGATAGCACAGGGGGCAGCTTGCAGGGGGCACACATGGATCATCTGGATAGCACAGGGGGCAGCTTGCAGGGGGCACACATGGATCATGTGGATAGCACAGGGGGCAGCTTGCAGGGGGCACACATGGATCATCTGGATAGCACAGGGGGCAGCTTGCAGGGGGCACACATGGATCATGTGGATAGCACAGGGGGCAGCTTGCAGGGGGCACACATGGATCATGTGGATAGCACAGGGGGCAGCTTGCAGGGGGCACACATGGATCATCTGGATAGCACAGGGGGCAGCTTGCAGGGGGCACACATGGATCATCTGGATAGCACAGGGGGCAGCTTGCAGGGGGCACACATGGATCATGTGGATAGCACAGGGGGCAGCTTGCAGGGGGCACACATGGATCATCTGGATAGCACAGGGGGCAGCTTGCAGGGGGCACACATGGATCATCTGGATAGCACAGGGGGCAGCTTGCAGGGGGCACACATGGATCATCTGGATAGCACAGGGGGCAGCTTGCAGGGGGCACACATGGATCATTTGGATAGCACAGGGGGCAGCTTGCAGGGGGCACACATGGATCATCTGGATAGCACAGGGGGCAGCTTGCAGGGGGCACACATGGATCATTTGGATAGCACAGGGGGCAGCTTGCAGGGGGCACACATGGATCATGTGGATAGCACAGGGGGCAGCTTGCAGGGGGCACACATGGATCATCTGGATAGCACAGGGGGCAGCTTGCAGGGGGCACACATGGATCATCTGGATAGCACAGGGGGCAGCTTGCAGGGGGCACACATGGATCATCTGGATAGCACAGGGGGCAGCTTGCAGGGGGCACACATGGATCATTTGGATAGCACAGGGGGCAGCTTGCAGGGGGCACACATGGATCATCTGGATAGCACAGGGGGCAGCTTGCAGGGGGCACACATGGATCATCTGGATAGCACAGGGGGCAGCTTGCAGGGGGCACACATGGATCATGTGGATAGCACAGGGGGCAGCTTGCAGGGGGCACACATGGATCATGTGGATAGCACAGGGGGCAGCTTGCAGGGGGCACACATGGATCATCTGGATAGCACAGGGGGCAGCTTGCAGGGGGCACACATGGATCATGTGGATAGCACAGGGGGCAGCTTGCAGGGGGCACACATGGATCATCTGGATAGCACAGGGGGCAGCTTGCAGGGGGCACACATGGATCATGTGGATAGCACAGGGGGCAGCTTGCAGGGGGCACACATGGATCATTTGGATAGCACAGGGGGCAGCTTGCAGGGGGCACACATGGATCATGTGGATAGCACAGGGGGCAGCTTGCAGGGGGCACACATGGATCATGTGGATAGCACAGGGGGCAGCTTGCAGGGGGCACACATGGATCATGTGGATAGCACAGGGGGCAGCTTGCAGGGGGCACACATGGATCATGTGGATAGCACAGGGGGCAGCTTGCAGGGGGCACACATGGATCATCTGGATAGCACAGGGGGCAGCTTGCAGGGGGCACACATGGATCATGTGGATAGCACAGGGGGCAGCTTGCAGGGGGCACACATGGATCATGTGGATAGCACAGGGGGCAGCTTGCAGGGGGCACACATGGATCATGTGGATAGCACAGGGGGCAGCTTGCAGGGGGCACACATGGATCATGTGGATAGCACAGGGGGCAGCTTGCAGGGGGCACACATGGATCATGTGGATAGCACAGGGGGCAGCTTGCAGGGGGCACACATGGATCATGTGGATAGCACAGGGGGCAGCTTGCAGGGGGCACACATGGATCATGTGGATAGCACAGGGGGCAGCTTGCAGGGGGCACACATGGATCATGTGGATAGCACAGGGGGCAGCTTGCAGGGGGCACACATGGATCATGTGGATAGCACAGGGGGCAGCTTGCAGGGGGCACACATGGATCATGTGGATAGCACAGGGGGCAGCTTGCAGGGGGCACACATGGATCATCTGGATAGCACAGGGGGCAGCTTGCAGGGGGCACACATGGATCATGTGGATAGCACAGGGGGCAGCTTGCAGGGGGCACACATGGATCATGTGGATAGCACAGGGGGCAGCTTGCAGGGGGCACACATGGATCATGTGGATAGCACAGGGGGCAGCTTGCAGGGGGCACACATGGATCATGTGGATAGCACAGGGGGCAGCTTGCAGGGGGCACACATGGATCATGTGGATAGCACAGGGGGCAGCTTGCAGGGGGCACACATGGATCATGTGGATAGCACAGGGGGCAGCTTGCAGGGGGCACACATGGATCATGTGGATAGCACAGGGGGCAGCTTGCAGGGGGCACACATGGATCATGTGGATAGCACAGGGGGCAGCTTGCAGGGGGCACACATGGATCATGTGGATAGCACAGGGGGCAGCTTGCAGGGGGCACACATGGATCATGTGGATAGCACAGGGGGCAGCTTGCAGGGGGCACACATGGATCATGTGGATAGCACAGGGGGCAGCTTGCAGGGGGCACACATGGATCATGTGGATAGCACAGGGGGCAGCTTGCAGGGGGCACACATGGATCATGTGGATAGCACAGGGGGCAGCTTGCAGGGGGCACACATGGATCATGTGGATAGCACAGGGGGCAGCTTGCAGGGGGCACACATGGATCATGTGGATAGCACAGGGGGCAGCTTGCAGGGGGCACACATGGATCATGTGGATAGCACAGGGGGCAGCTTGCAGGGGGCACACATGGATCATGTGGATAGCACAGGGGGCAGCTTGCAGGGGGCACACATGGATCATGTGGATAGCACAGGGGGCAGCTTGCAGGGGGCACACATGGATCATGTGGATAGCACAGGGGGCAGCTTGCAGGGGGCACACATGGATCATGTGGATAGCACAGGGGGCAGCTTGCAGGGGGCACACATGGATCATGTGGATAGCACAGGGGGCAGCTTGCAGGGGGCACACATGGATCATGTGGATAGCACAGGGGGCAGCTTGCAGGGGGCACACATGGATCATGTGGATAGCACAGGGGGCAGCTTGCAGGGGGCACACATGGATCATGTGGATAGCACAGGGGGCAGCTTGCAGGGGGCACACATGGATCATGTGGATAGCACAGGGGGCAGCTTGCAGGGGGCACACATGGATCATGTGGATAGCACAGGGGGCAGCTTGCAGGGGGCACACATGGATCATCTGGATAGCACAGGGGGCAGCTTGCAGGGGGCACACATGGATCATGTGGATAGCACAGGGGGCAGCTTGCAGGGGGCACACATGGATCATGTGGATAGCACAGGGGGCAGCTTGCAGGGGGCACACATGGATCATGTGGATAGCACAGGGGGCAGCTTGCAGGGGGCACACATGGATCATGTGGATAGCACAGGGGGCAGCTTGCAGGGGGCACACATGGATCATGTGGATAGCACAGGGGGCAGCTTGCAGGGGGCACACATGGATCATCTGGATAGCACAGGGGGCAGCTTGCAGGGGGCACACATGGATCATGTGGATAGCACAGGGGGCAGCTTGCAGGGGGCACACATGGATCATGTGGATAGCACAGGGGGCAGCTTGCAGGGGGCACACATGGATCATGTGGATAGCACAGGGGGCAGCTTGCAGGGGGCACACATGGATCATCTGGATAGCACAGGGGGCAGCTTGCAGGGGGCACACATGGATCATCTGGATAGCACAGGGGGCAGCTTGCAGGGGGCACACATGGATCATGTGGATAGCACAGGGGGCAGCTTGCAGGGGGCACACATGGATCATCTGGATAGCACAGGGGGCAGCTTGCAGGGGGCACACATGGATCATCTGGATAGCACAGGGGGCAGCTTGCAGGGGGCACACATGGATCATGTGGATAGCACAGGGGGCAGCTTGCAGGGGGCACACATGGATCATCTGGATAGCACAGGGGGCAGCTTGCAGGGGGCACACATGGATCATCTGGATAGCACAGGGGGCAGCTTGCAGGGGGCACACATGGATCATCTGGATAGCACAGGGGGCAGCTTGCAGGGGGCACACATGGATCATTTGGATAGCACAGGGGGCAGCTTGCAGGGGGCACACATGGATCATCTGGATAGCACAGGGGGCAGCTTGCAGGGGGCACACATGGATCATTTGGATAGCACAGGGGGCAGCTTGCAGGGGGCACACATGGATCATGTGGATAGCACAGGGGGCAGCTTGCAGGGGGCACACATGGATCATCTGGATAGCACAGGGGGCAGCTTGCAGGGGGCACACATGGATCATCTGGATAGCACAGGGGGCAGCTTGCAGGGGGCACACATGGATCATGTGGATAGCACAGGGGGCAGCTTGCAGGGGGCACACATGGATCATCTGGATAGCACAGGGGGCAGCTTGCAGGGGGCACACATGGATCATCTGGATAGCACAGGGGGCAGCTTGCAGGGGGCACACATGGATCATCTGGATAGCACAGGGGGCAGCTTGCAGGGGGCACACATGGATCATTTGGATAGCACAGGGGGCAGCTTGCAGGGGGCACACATGGATCATTTGGATAGCACAGGGGGCAGCTTGCAGGGGGCACACATGGATCATGTGGATAGCACAGGGGGCAGCTTGCAGGGGGCACACATGGATCATGTGGATAGCACAGGGGGCAGCTTGCAGGGGGCACACATGGATCATGTGGATAGCACAGGGGGCAGCTTGCAGGGGGCACACATGGATCATGTGGATAGCACAGGGGGCAGCTTGCAGGGGGCACACATGGATCATGTGGATAGCACAGGGGGCAGCTTGCAGGGGGCACACATGGATCATGTGGATAGCACAGGGGGCAGCTTGCAGGGGGCACACATGGATCATGTGGATAGCACAGGGGGCAGCTTGCAGGGGGCACACATGGATCATGTGGATAGCACAGGGGGCAGCTTGCAGGGGGCACACATGGATCATGTGGATAGCACAGGGGGCAGCTTGCAGGGGGCACACATGGATCATGTGGATAGCACAGGGGGCAGCTTGCAGGGGGCACACATGGATCATGTGGATAGCACAGGGGGCAGCTTGCAGGGGGCACACATGGATCATGTGGATAGCACAGGGGGCAGCTTGCAGGGGGCACACATGGATCATGTGGATAGCACAGGGGGCAGCTTGCAGGGGGCACACATGGATCATGTGGATAGCACAGGGGGCAGCTTGCAGGGGGCACACATGGATCATGTGGATAGCACAGGGGGCAGCTTGCAGGGGGCACACATGGATCATGTGGATAGCACAGGGGGCAGCTTGCAGGGGGCACACATGGATCATGTGGATAGCACAGGGGGCAGCTTGCAGGGGGCACACATGGATCATGTGGATAGCACAGGGGGCAGCTTGCAGGGGGCACACATGGATCATGTGGATAGCACAGGGGGCAGCTTGCAGGGGGCACACATGGATCATGTGGATAGCACAGGGGGCAGCTTGCAGGGGGCACACATGGATCATGTGGATAGCACAGGGGGCAGCTTGCAGGGGGCACACATGGATCATGTGGATAGCACAGGGGGCAGCTTGCAGGGGGCACACATGGATCATGTGGATAGCACAGGGGGCAGCTTGCAGGGGGCACACATGGATCATGTGGATAGCACAGGGGGCAGCTTGCAGGGGGCACACATGGATCATGTGGATAGCACAGGGGGCAGCTTGCAGGGGGCACACATGGATCATGTGGATAGCACAGGGGGCAGCTTGCAGGGGGCACACATGGATCATGTGGATAGCACAGGGGGCAGCTTGCAGGGGGCACACATGGATCATGTGGATAGCACAGGGGGCAGCTTGCAGGGGGCACACATGGATCATGTGGATAGCACAGGGGGCAGCTTGCAGGGGGCACACATGGATCATGTGGATAGCACAGGGGGCAGCTTGCAGGGGGCACACATGGATCATGTGGATAGCACAGGGGGCAGCTTGCAGGGGGCACACATGGATCATGTGGATAGCACAGGGGGCAGCTTGCAGGGGGCACACATGGATCATGTGGATAGCACAGGGGGCAGCTTGCAGGGGGCACACATGGATCATGTGGATAGCACAGGGGGCAGCTTGCAGGGGGCACACATGGATCATGTGGATAGCACAGGGGGCAGCTTGCAGGGGGCACACATGGATCATGTGGATAGCACAGGGGGCAGCTTGCAGGGGGCACACATGGATCATCTGGATAGCACAGGGGGCAGCTTGCAGGGGGCACACATGGATCATCTGGATAGCACAGGGGGCAGCTTGCAGGGGGCACACATGGATCATGTGGATAGCACAGGGGGCAGCTTGCAGGGGGCACACATGGATCATCTGGATAGCACAGGGGGCAGCTTGCAGGGGGCACACATGGATCATCTGGATAGCACAGGGGGCAGCTTGCAGGGGGCACACATGGATCATGTGGATAGCACAGGGGGCAGCTTGCAGGGGGCACACATGGATCATCTGGATAGCACAGGGGGCAGCTTGCAGGGGGCACACATGGATCATGTGGATAGCACAGGGGGCAGCTTGCAGGGGGCACACATGGATCATCTGGATAGCACAGGGGGCAGCTCTCACATCAACCTGTCCTCCCACTTCCCCCCTTACCCCTGCGTCCTCCTCTCCCCTCTCATCACATGCATCCAGGGCCAATGGAGGAAAGCATTCAGTGGCCCACATGGCCATGATACTGCTCATCTCTTGACTGGCCTTGACTGGCTCATTCTCGTTTCTCTCTCTCTCTCTCACACTCACCCCTTGTGTGCATGCATGCAGGGAGGGAGGTCGATATCATTGACTGGCCCACACGCGTGCGGATAGCGCAGGGAGCAGCGCAGGGGCTGCTGCATCTACACGAGAACAAGGTCATTCACCGCGACTTAAAGCCGTCCAACATCTTATTGGATCAGGTAGGGACTCAATTCGCTTGAGAGGAGATATACCATGTCAGGACAGTAGCAGTGCAGAGGGCAGCGCAGGGAGCAGCGCAGGGGCTGCTGCACCTGCACGAGAACAGGGTCATTCACCGGGACTTAAAGCCCTCCAACATCTTATTGGATCAGGTGGGGATTCAAGGCTGTACAGTACAGTGTACTGGAGCGGCATTGGATTCACCCATGGCAGGGAGGGAGCAGCGCAGGGGCTGCTGCACCTGCATGAGAACGAGGTCATTCTCCACCCCCTCGTCCTCCCCTCTTCCCCTCTCTCCATGCCACCTGCCAGGACATGCAAGCACGTATTACAGACTTTAGCATGGCGAAGCAGTCGGCCAGCAGCGTGAGCCACATCTCAATCTCGGCTTGAGAAGCTGGTGGCTCACACTTACTACTCTCCAACCACACACACTCACTACTCTCCAACCACACACACTCACTACTCTCCAACCACACACACTCACTACTCTCCAACCACACACACTCACTACTCTCCAACCACACACACTCACTACTATCCAACCACACACACTCACTACTCTCCAACCACACACACTCACTACTCTCCAACCACACACACTCACTACTCTCCAACCACACACACTCACTACTCTCCAACCACACACACTCACTACTCTCCAACCTCTTCCCTGCCCCCACCCTCCCCGCACCCCCTGGTCCTCCCCTCTTTCCCTCCCTCCATCCCACTTCACACAGGACATGCAAGCACGCATCACGGATTTCGGCATGGCGAAGCAGTCGGCCAGCAGCGTGAGCCACATCTCGACGCGAGTGATGGGCACGATGGGGTATTTGGATCCCGAGTACATGGAGACGGGGTGTCTGAGGGATAAGAGCGACGTTTACTCGCTAGGGGTCATCCTGCTACAGGTGTGTGATGCACTGGTTGATGCTTGTAGGTCACAGGTGTGGGATGGGCACGATGGGGTATTTGGATCCCGAGTACATGGAGACGGGGTGCTTGCGAGACAAGAGCGATGTGTATTCGCTTGGAGTCATTCTGTTACAGGTGTGTATCTCCCTTAGATGGCGCGAGCATAAGAGGGTGCGTGTGATGGGCACCATGGGTTACCTTGGCCCCGAGTACATGGAAACGGGGTGCTTGCGAGACAAGAGCGACGTGTATTCCCTCGGGGTCATCTTGCTACAGGTGTGTGGTGTGCTGCTGTTGTGTACGTGTAGCAGCATGTACCATACCATGGGGTGCACCATGGTGGGTACCTGGACCGGGAAGTGTGTGTGATGGACAACCCACCATGGGGTACCTGGGCCATGAATACATGGAGACTGGGTGCTTGCGGGACAAGAAGAGCGACGTTACTCCCTCGGGGTCATCCTGTTCCAGGTATGTGGTGCACTGGCTGATGCGTGTAGCAAGCATGTCACATGCGTGTGCGTGTGTGTGTGTGTGTGTGTGTGTGTGTGTGTGTGTGTGTGTGTGTGTGTGTGTGTGTGTGTGTGTGTGTGTGTGTGATGGGCAACCCACCATGGGGTACCTTGACCCCGAATACATGGAGTCGGGGTGTCTACACAATAAGAGCGGCGTTTATTCCCTCGGGGTCATCTTGCTACAGGTACGGACGCGATGGGGTGGGGGCATGGGTGCGTGCATAAGCATGTGTGTGTGTGATGGGTGTGATGAGCACCATGGGGAACCTTGACCCGGATACATACATGGGTGAGCAGAGCACATACATGGAGACGGAGTGCTTGAGGGACGGGGTTGCCTGAGTGCCCTTGAAGCACCTCAGCATCCCTCTTCCTGAAGCTCCTTTCCCCTGCTCCTCATCTTTCCCACAGATGCTAGCAGCTCGGGACGCTCGCTGCTCCTTTCCCCTGCTCCTCATCTTTGAGAATTCTAAAAAAAACCCTGCAACAGATGCTAACACCCTGCAACAGATGCTAACAGGTCGGGACGCTGTTTCCAAGGAGGGAAAAGTGAAGCTCGTGGCATGGACGGGGCCGCACCTGTACCCAATATCACCAACCCTGAGGCTTCCCTCCTCCGCATCTGTCCTCCCCACACCCCCCCACCACGCAGATGCTAACAGGCCGCGATGCTGTGTCCAAGGAAGGCAACGTGAATTCAATAACGTGGATGGGGCCACACATGTATCCCAACATTACTGAGCATTTCCTCCTCCCTTTTTGTCCCCACACCCGCCACAGATGCTAACAGGCCGCGATGCTGTGTCCAAGGAAGGCAATGTGAAGCTTGTGGCTTGGATGGGGCCGCACCTGTACCCCAACATCACCGAACCTGAGGCTTGGATCGACCCGAACCTGCAGGGCAGGTTCTCCCGCCGAGGCGCCAAGATGCTGGCAGCCGTGGCGAAGCAGTGCTCCGCCCGGCACAAGGAGGACCGGCCGGAGATGAGTGACGTGGCACAAGCTCTGATGTCCGTGCCTCTTGCTGATTGACTTGCTGACTGACTTGCGTTGACTTGGGTTGACCTGGGTTGACTTGGGTTGACCCGGGTTGACTTGGGTTGACCTGAAGCCAGCAGCTGTGGAAAAGCAAGGCGCCGCTCGGCACAAGGAGGACCGGCCGGAGATGAGTGACGTGGCTCAGGCGCTCATGTCCGTGCCTCTTGCTGATTGACTTGCGTTGACTTAAGTTGACTTAGCACTGGTGGGATGGGATGCTGGAAGCTGTGAGGAAGCAGCGTGTCTCCAGAGGCCGAATGGATGAGGACTGGCTGGAGATGAGTGACGTGGCACAAGCACTCATGGACGTGCCGATGGACTGCTGATTGACCTTCATTGACTTGGGTTGACCCAGGCTGACTTGACACTGGAGAGATGGGATGTTGGCAGCAATGGCGAAGCAGCAGTATGCCGCCAAGCCCGATGCAAGGATGACCGGCTAGAGATGAGCGAGGTGGCACAGGCGCTCATGGTCGTGCCTCTTGCTGATTGACTTGCGTTGACTTGGGTTGACTTGGCACTGGTGGGGTGAGAAGCTGGAAGTCGTGGCGAAGCAGTGCGCCGCCCAAAACAACCCGGCCAGGAGATGAGGACTCCTCATCACCCTCGTAAACCTGAAACGTGGAGGTCGGGGTGGAGACGAGTGGCATGACAGGGGCACTCATGGTGTGCCTCCTGGCTGCTAATTGACCTGCGTTGACTTTGGTGGACTTGGCACTGGTGGGATGGGATGCAGGCAGCTGTGGCAGGGGCGCTCTTGACTGCTGATTGACTGACATTGACTTTGGTGGAATTGACACAGGTGGGATAGGATGCTGGCAGCTGTGGCGAATCAGTGCGCTGCCCGAAACAGCTCTGCCAGGGGGAGATAAATCACGTGGCACAGACCTCGTTTCTGTCTGTTGACTGGGGATGTTGTGTGGTGTCAGCTGGAGGATCTGGCAAGGCAAGGCAAGCCTTCAATGGGTGTACCCTGGAAATAATGTAACACACCTACCTACATTCTCTGCAAGAAGCTTTTTCATATTCTTGCCAACATAAATGTGCTGGTGTGAGAATACCGGTATAATAATGCCTTATTTTGATTTAGCACGTCCATTTCCAGCCTGACACTGTACTCAGTTCCATACAGTTCCTGGAAAAATGGAGTGCTGTAGAAGCATTTGCACATTATTGCGGTAATCTTGATTGGCTGGTATGCAATAAAATAAGATTCCTGACAGTTCCGTGACCAATATAGTACAGAAGTCTGGGGTAAATCAGCATTCAGGGCATGGTAGTACTGTGGTAGGGAACCCATCATACCGTACCAGTACCACCTGTGGCTCACCAATCCTTTCATGTAAGAAATGGTCGTAGTGGAAAGACAGCTCCCTCCCAACCCAACCCAGCTGATTCTTAGTACTGTGCTCCATGGCTGACAATGAATCTCCTAGCGGCCGTACAGTGGTACGGTTCCAAAACTCCAAAACATCTCTATAGCTCGTCTTCGCACAACATCTGGTCTTCACAATGCGCCACTCTCAACCCCGTCCGGATTCGCTGAATGTCCTCCGTGAACGACGAAGCTGCGGTCCCAAGAAACACGTCTGCTAGAGCACACACCGCCTTGTCTAACGTCACCCGCACCACCCCCGGATGCTCAAACCGGTGCGGCAGCAGCACCTGCGCCCAAGCCTGCGCGTCCAGGTTCAGCGGAAGCTGCATCAGCCGCAGGTCCGGGCGGTGGGACAAAACCGCTCCGGTCAATTCCGCCACCTCAGTAGGTTCGGCGTCAGTGGCTAGGAAAATAGTGCTGAGATTGCTGGATTTTGCCATGCGATCGGCGATGCATCTCGCGGTGCGGTTGATTGTGAGATGAGAGCCTGAGTCCTGAAAGCTGGTAACCAGGTCTTTTCGCCGCCAGTGAATCGCCATGTAGCGAAGCTGACCGGCATTCTTACCACTGCTACCGCTGGCACTAGTAGTGGTGGTACCCCCACTGGCAGCAGCAATGGCTGATGGTAGCGTGTCCTCAGCCGCTGTGTTGTTGCCCTGCTCCTCTCCTTCCCTGCTACTCCCTGCACTGTTATTCATCCCCTTTAGAAGCACATCCGATACAAACCGGCTGGCAGCTTCGAAGATCGCCGGATGGGGCTGAATCGCCAGTTTATTCGGGCAGCCCGGGCGCCGAAAAAACGGCACGTCAATCTGCCTGTGAAAGGTTTCATCAAACAGCGAAGCTCCCAAATCCCCCATTACAAACACATCAGCGGACGGGAAGATCAAATCCCCGAATCTCTTGATATCTGTGATGTTGATCGAGTGATCCGGAGGCAGGTTGGCATCCGTGAAAGTTAAAGCCTCGTATGAGATGCCTCCGAGTGTGGGGAGGACTGTGGGAAGGCCCCAACCTGGTTGGAAGTAGCAGTTGGTGAATGGGCACACGACCTGGGTTATTATTATATCCGCTGCTGTGCTGCTGCTGCTGCTGTTGTTGTTGGTGCTGTCATTGCCACTACTGCCATTGCCGCTCCTTGCTGCTCTTCTCTCTGCCAGTAAGTCGTCGAGGGTGATGACGGTGCGCGGCCCGTAGCAGCGGTGCATGTGGGTGAGATGGAAAAACACGCGCCGGTCGTAGCTGCCGTTCACCTCCGCCGGCCGGAACGGTGCGACCAGCGTGCGGTTGAGAACGCCCGCCACGATTAGATAGTTGCGGATGCAGCGAATGCGGTTGGACACCTGATTAGGGGGCACAGGTGGCGAAGGGGACAAGGAGGAGGGAGGGGACTAGGTGCGCATGAAGCCAGATCAACGAGCGTGCGGTTGAGCACCCCTGCCACTACGAGGTAGTTGCGGATGCAGCGAATGCGGTTGGACACCTGAAGAACTTGTGTGGGGAGGGGGCTTTTGGAAAAGGGGGAAGGAGGGGCTCAGGGAACTGGGTGCACATGAAACCAGATCAACCAGCGTGCAGTTGAGCACCCCTGACACTACGAGGTAGTTGCGGATGCAGCGAATGCGGTTGGACACCTGATAGGGGGAGTTGGGGGGGAGGAGGGGGGGTGAGGGGAATAAGAGGGGAGCAGGGAGCAGGGGCTGGTCGTGGTTGAAGGCAGATCAACGACTGTGCAATTGAGAACCTACGTCACAATTAGGTAATTGCGGATGCAGCGAATGCGGTTGCACACCTGATAAGGGATGGGTTGGAAGGAGGAAAGAGTGGGGAGAGAGGGCGCAACGGGGCCGGGTGTGCTTGAAGCGAAATTCACGAGCGTGCGCTCAAGAGCCCCAGCCTTTGTTAGGTGGTTGCGGAAGCAGCGGTTGGAACCCAACAATCCCTTCGAATGCGGTTGGACAACTTGCTCTCACCCGCCTCTCGTACTCACCCGATATTCCAAGAACTAAAATCCAGTACGGCTCGTTCTTTGCGGCTGGCTAGCTGGCTTACAATGCAAGTCAACATGCAGAGGTTGTTGGGACGAATTCAATCTCATCACTTCACGAGCACTGGTGTATCCCTGACTTTTAACTTTGCTTCTACCAAAAGGTTACATAACATTTTTGGCAAACGCCAGCACACTAAAAATTGAGGGAGGGGGATGTCAAGAGAAATCTGTTTTTTGAGAGTTCTGAAGTGATACACTAGCCCCCATGAAGTGATGGGATTGAATTCGTCCCAACAACCTCTGCATGTTGCTGGGAGAACCCCCCTTCCAAGACGACAACTTGAACAGCCCCATCTTGGCCCCTCTTCCTTGCTCTCCTGCTCTTTCAAGCCTCTCACACCCACCTGGTTCCGCTGACAGTCTATGAGAATGTACTTGTCAGGCTGCGGCTCCCACGCGAGAGACTGATAAAAAACACCCCTTCCCAGGGCCACGAGTTGAACAGCCCATCCCAGGGCCACGAGTTGAACAGCCCATCCTGGCCAAACACCTCCCCATCCTGCTGCCTCCCCCTCTCCCCCTTTGCACCATAACCCTAGCCTGTCATTTCCCTCAACTCACACGCACCTGGTTCCGTTGCCAGTCCATGAGAATGTATTTGTCCAGCTGAGGCGGCCACGCCAGGAACCCATCAGCAAACCCGCCCTCCCAGGACCCGCACTCCCGCCTCTCACACGCACCTGGCTCCGTTGGCAGTCCATGAGAATGTATTTGTCAGGCTGCGGCTCCCACGCCAGAAAGCCATGAGGATATATTTGGCACGCCCAACCCCTTCCCCCCTTGCTCCCTCTCCCCCCTCACACATACCTGGTTCCGTTGGCAGTCCATGAGAATGTATTTGTCAGGCTGCGGCTCCCACGCTAGAAAGCCTTCAGAGAAGCCCCCCTCCCACGGCCACGCGTTGAACAGACCGCCCTTGTTCGAGCACCGCCCCTGCTGCCTCGCTCTCTGAATCTCCGACCATCGCTGCTCCTTTGATACCTGGCGACCCCTGGCAGGGAGATGGGGAATGAATGGGGAGGGGTGTCACGAAATGAGAGGTCAATACTTGGTCAGGGGAATGTACGCGCACCGCCCCTCCTGCCTTTCTCTTGTGAGCTCCAACAGCCGCTGCTCCTTTGATACCTGGCAACCCCTGGCGACCCCTGGCGACCCCTGGCGACCCCTGGCGACCCCTGGCGACCCCTGGTGACCCCTAGCGACCCCTGGCAGGTAAATGGGAAGAGAATGGGAATGAGGAGAACAGCTTGGAATGCAGTTGGGATCTCGCTCGTACGAATGGGACGAGGGGAATGGACTGGTCAAGGGATTACGAAGATGAACTGAATACTCAGGAAGCTAAGGGGCTGAGGATGCTCAAGGGAGGGCAGTGAGGAGGGAAGATAAGGGGGTGAGGAGGGAAGTGCAAAAGGAAGGTGTTGAGGAGGGAAATGGAGAATGGGGTAGTGGAGGGAAGAGAAGAAAGGGTGGGGTGAGGAGGGAAGAGAAGAAAGGGGGTGAGGGGAAGTCAGGAATGGGGTAGGTGGGAGAGCAGGAGCACACACCAATCAACTCGTACGCTAAGATCCGAGCTGGAGCCTGGTGATTGGCTTCTGCTGCTGGTGCTCGTATTGCTACCATCATGTTGCTGTAGAGTCCCATCCTCAGCCGTTCCTGGGCTTGACAAACTTGGTTCGGCAGCTGGTTCGGATGAGACTGTCAAGGCTGATGATGGTTGGGAAGGAGGTTTGGATGATGCTGACGAGGCTAAGGGGGGAGGAGGCAGGGCAGGAGAAGCAGCAGATGCTGCAGCGAGCTCTCGTTCCAGTTGAATCACTCTCCCTATAGTCACACCCGGGAGTTCTAAGTCGAGTTGAACGAGGGACGGATCGGATGGTGGAGCTGAGATGTCTGTGGACGGCTGCAGATGGTTACAGGGTGGTCAGAAGACGAAACAATAATATTTTATGATTGCAGATGGTTGGTGCGAAACGGGATTTGCAGAGGCAGAAGATTCTGATAACAAAGCGTTGAACGATTGCAGGGATTTTAGGTGGAGATTGATGTGAATTTGAGGAAGGCGAGACGCATGCGTACTGTGGTATGGCGGAATGCTCTCTGGATAACAAGACTGTGAATGCGCCGGTGAGACTTTTGAGTCGACTCAAAAGTCAACTCAAAAGTCAACTTGGTATGGCGGAATGCTCTCTGGATAACAAGACTGTGAATGCGCCGGTGAGACTTTTGAGTCGACTCAAAAGTCAACTCAAAAGTCAACTTGGTATGACGGAATGCTCTCTGGATAACAAGACTGTGAATGCGCCGGTGAGGAACTGAGCAATCGAGCTCGCGACGAACACGGAACTATGAATATGGGATGCCATTAACGGGAAATTGTTCTGACCTGCTGTGCAAAAACGGCGAGGGAGAGCGTGAGGAGGACGAAAAGAGGCGGAGGGAGCGCCGGAATAAATCTCCATATTAATCTACGTCTCAAAACTAGAGGAGGGGAACTGCTCCTCGGAGAGAGAGATGGGGTGAAAGCAGCAAGTGGCTGAGGGACTGCCTTCCCTAGTAACGATCTACGGAACAATTTGTGAGACATGAGATCCGTCTTAAAACCACAGGAGAGAGCGCGGAGACAGCTAAAAGCCGCTGGGGGATGTCCGCGAGTCAGCCAATGTCTCAAACCTTGAGCAGAGCGCGGAAGGAGCACCTCATCGCTAAACACGTCCTTAGTAACGATAGACTACTAATTTATTGCGCGGGTGATCGCATGAGGAGACAGCAACACACGGCTGAAAGGTGCGGATGAACGTGCGAGTCATGACAGAAACGGAGGTGACGCTTCTGTAACGAGGAGAATTTCAAAATCCCGTAGTTCCCGAGGAAGGAAATCGGGTTGTGTGAAGAGGACGAAGCAGCAGTTTCCGTTGCCTGAAATTAGCGCGCTCAGCCGCACCCGAGGGCTACGAGGAACCTATCTTACGAGTGAAATGAGGACCATCGTGGTTACCAGCCGTTTGCGTATTAATTACGGCTATGAGGAACCTACCTTACGCTTCTAACATGCCTGGATATACTTTATTCCTGGCGAGTGAAACGAGGACCATCGTGATCACGGGAGAAAGGCTACCATACCTTGGGTATCCCGCGTCATAAAACCATCTGTGAAGGGGACTAAGGGCGGTTCCAAAGAGTATGTCCAAATGCGGTTGAAAAGGTTTTAGGCTTAATATAGAGCGGTCTATTTAAAACAACAGATGGTTGGGTAGGGTTTTTTGCGAATACATGCATTGTTGGACCCGCCCTAACGGATTTCCGTCTGGTATGCTCAAATTGCTGAGGGCGCATTTCTGTCTCGTGTCAAACCTTCTACATATATCAATTTAGCTTTCAAGCCTCGCATTTCGTCATGCTTAGCATAGCCTTGGGGGATGTCTCAACGAAACGAGGTCAACGGTCGGTCGACGGACTCGCTTGTCCGTTTAGATATCATGAGGATCCGCGGAATAGGTTCTGGTATCCAATGAGTTCCATTAAACTATTCGTTAGCCTCCGTGTTCAGTGTTCAAGATCACCTTGAGCACTTAACGTTTATCTAAAACCAGAGCTCAGCACCCTGACTGTAGTTTCGCACCCGAACTTTCGGTAAATGGGTGTCGGCACCCCTATCAGCATTTCCCGAATCATTGGAAAAATACTGACACGGTCGCACACATCTGCTGCAGAACACTCGAGAGTCCAGACCAGATTCGAGAAGCTCGAAGTTCCTCCCTCCTCCCTGGAAGTCCAGAGTCCTCCCTCCATTTCAACTCCAAAACGATAGCGAGCTGTCATGCTAGCGACTCATCCTGCCGCTCTACTTTGTTCATTAATCTCGTTAGCTGAAGCCTATTGACTTGGATCAGCCGGCTTGTTTGATATACGCCTTTGAACGATTTGCTGTCTGATCGTTTGCCTGCCCCCACTTGTGTAGACCGATCCACCTAGATTTTGCCGTGACGCGATTTGCTGTCACCACACGCCATTCAGTCGCTTCACTCTGACTCAATTCCCGAGTGACAACCTAAATGTTGCTGAAGATGCCACGTGCAGCCATCGCCGCACATCATTCCCCCCCGTAACGCAATAAGACACAGGTGTTCTCGCTAGAATCACACGCTTTAGAACCGCACGTGGACGAGCTCGGGCGAACGCCGATCAGCAAGCTCTCAGCACTCCGAATTTTGGGAATTTATCGCCATGGCAGTCAATCCGTCTCCGCCTTCCGCAGCCTTCCCTGCATCGTCCCCTTTTTCCGCCTCCGCACCTTTTTCATCCGCCAATCCCCCCATTTTCTCCGCTTCCGCGCCCGCGGATCCCGCCGCGCCGTCCCCCGTCCGCCCGCACAAGCCCACCGGCCGGCACGGCGCGACCGACCAGCAACGCCGGCGCGAGCTCGCTCTGGAGCGGCAGCGCGCCGCGCGGCGGGACCTGCAACTGCACGCGCGCCACGTGGCTCTCGCCGCAACTGGCGCCGTGACTCTCGCTGACGAGGTCGAGGCGCGCGAGTCTGCCGCTGCAGCGCCAGAGTCGAGAGAAGTTTCGCCGCTGCTTCCAGAGATATGCGAGTTCGACGAGGCTTCGGGCCAATGGACGAGGATCGACCAAGAGGGGTTCAGAATCGACGGCTCAGGGAGACGGATCGAGCCAGTCGACCTAGGATCTGACGCGTCTGGATCTACCAGAGAACCCTTTGCTACTGGAGCGAGAATCGATGCTGCCGAAGGGGAAGGCACTGAGGAGGGGGGTGTGTTGGGAGGAGTGGGTAACGGGGAGGGGGTGTTTGGGATGGTGCGTGAAGCGGGTGGGGAGGGTATGGAGATGGATGGGGATGGGGATGGGGATGGGAATGGGGAGGGGGAGGGGGAGGAGGATGGTGGGGGCGTTGTGGGGATTGAACAGGAGATGAGGGGGTTGTTTGTGCCGCGTGGTGAGGCTGGGGGGAGAAGAGGGAAAGGAGGAGCAGGAGGAAGGGGAGGAGGGAGAGGAGGTCGAGGGGGGAGAGGAGGGGTTGATGATAATGTAGATGGTGCGGATAAAGGGGTGACAGACGGTGCAAGGGAGTGGTATGCGCAGCAGCTTATGCTGCCCGAGTGGATGGTCGACGTCCCACCTCGACTTGCCTCTGATTGGTCAGTTCTGTTTCCCTCTCTCTCACCACTCTTGGTCACTTGTTTATCCGGCACCCTTTTACTCAAAAACACGAACCTTCCTGTTTGCGGAAACTAGAATTGTTTGAGGTCTAGCGTCCATTGTCCGTTTCCCTTGTCAGTTCTCACATTCCCTCAAAAACTTAACTGAATTCTCCCCTCCCAGGTCTAGCATCCATTGTCCGTTTTCCGCGTCAATTCTCACATTCCTTTTGCACCATGCCATATTCCCAGGTTCGTGATGCCGCGGCCGGACGGGCGGCGTTGTTTGGTGGTATCTGCAAATGGCACCACCGTTAGCCGCCTGCGCAACGGTCGAATCCTCCACCGCTTCCCCTCTCACCTGCCCAACGGCGCCAGGGCGCCTGGTATCGCTGCTGGCGCGCACGTCTACTGCATCCTGGACTGTATATTTCATGAGGTGAGAGTTCAGGAGAGTGGGCAGTTCAAGGATTAGAGCTTGGGGTCTAGGGCGCAATCCTCCACCGCTTGCCCTAGCGTCTGCCCAACGGGGCCAGGGCTCCCGGTATCGCAGCGAGTGGCCATGTGTACTGCATCCTTGAATGTATCTTCCATGAGGTGAGATGAGATCTCAGCGTTTTAGGCAAATTCAAGGCTTAGAGTATCAGGCAGGCAGGCTGAAGGTCGAATCTTCCACCGCTTCCCCTCTCGTCTGCCCAACGGGGCCAGGGCTCCTGGTATCACTGCTGGCGCTCACGTGTACTGCATGCATCCTTGACTGTATCTTCCATGACGTGAGTCTAGGGTTTCAGGGTTTCGGGTTTGAAGGGTCAAATCCTTCACCGACCACTTCCCCTTGTGCACGCCCAATAAGGCCAACATGCAGTCCAATGAGGTCTCATCCAATTTCCCGGTTCCCCTCCCCCCTCTTCCCCGCCCCGCACTCCTCCATGCTTGCCGGCCCAGCAGCACATACTGCGTGTTAGACGTCACGTGAAGGCATGGCGCGGTTATTCTTGATATGACTGCACTGCTGGGTTCTGTCTCTTGTGCCTGCACACACACCTGCCGCAGTGCGGCGCCAACTGAAGCCAAACAAACTCCCTGTTCCCCCTCCCTATCTCCCCCTGCTCCTCTATGCCTGGCAGCCCAATAACACTTACTATGCCTGACGTGATGGCATGGCTTGGCTATTCTCTCTACGACTGCACGGCAGAGTTTCGTCTCTTCTGGCTGCACACACACCTGTTGCAGTGCGGCGCCAGCTGAATTCGTGCTTCCCCTCCCCCCCCTCTCCCATGCAGCCCAATAACACATACTACGTGCTGGACGTGATGGCATGGCGCGGCTATTCTCTCTACGACTGCACGGCCGAGTTTCGTCTCTTCTGGCTGCAAACGCACCTGCCGCAGTGCGGCGCCTGTGACCCGCCCTCCCACTTCCACCGTTTCCGCTTCGCTCCCGTGCCGTTTTTTGAGTGCCACTGCCAAGGGCTCGAGGCTGCTTACTGTGGGTGGAGAGAGGTTGGGGGAGGGGCAGTGGGGGCAGGAGGGACAGCAGGGGCAGGGGAGGCAGGGGAGGCAGGGGGAGCAGGGGGAGCAAGGGGGGAGATGGGGGGAGTTGAGGGAGCAGGGGTAGGGGGAGCAGCAGCAGGAGGGGGGTTAGCAGCGATAGTGGCTGGTGGCAGGGCCAATGGCGGTGCCTCGGTGCCAACGACTGCACTAGTGGAGTTCACTCGCGATGGGCTGCTCTTCTACAACCGGTGAGGAATTTCTGTTACTAGGCTAGCTGCTGCTCTGAAAGCGATTACACCGATGGAATGGTGAACGGCGCCCCAGTGCCAACGACTGCACTAGTGGAATTCACTCGCGATGGGCTGCTCTTCCACAACCGGTGAGGAACGTTGGTGAAATGGACCAACTGTCTGTTATTTTTTTTTTTTTTTTTTTTTTTTTTTTTTTTGCCCTCCTCTTGCTCCTTTTGCCGATCCACATGTTGCCCGTCGCTGTTGTGCTCTAAGACTTGAATGAGTGAGATGGGCCGCTGTTCCATCCCCATCTCCCCTCTCGAGTTGACTTTTGAGTCGACTCAAAAGTCAACTCCTTTTTTTGATCCACATGTTGCCCGTCGCTGTTGTGCTCTAAGACTTGAATGAGTGAGATGGGCCGCTGTTCCATCCCCACACCTCTTGTGCCGCTGAATGAGATGGGCCGCTGTTCCATCCCCATCTCCCCTCTCTCTCCCACCTCCTCCCAGCCACTCGCACTACACGTCCGTCCGCCTCTCCTCCCGGGTGCTGCAGTGGCTATATTGATTGAAATCACTGTTGAGAATTCTCGAAAGTGATTTCAGTATCGTCAGCCTCTCCTCCCTGGTGCTGCAGTGGAAGGATGCAGCGTGAATTCTGTTCGTTCCCCTCTTTGCCCCACCACTCATCCCTCCCCCGCTC